TATAGTTACTCAGTTCGGTACCGCGCTTGGATGCACCACATAGCGTTATTCTCGGGTGCAATTCCCCTTCTTAAAAGAAGGGTGGGTTCTTAGGACGATTTTTTTACTTTCCCCTTATCTCAGTATACTGAAAAGTGTATATTCCACCTCAGTACTAGAAATCTGATTATACTTCCTTATCAATTATCACCTGCGCTTCTGCTATCCCTTTGAAGACTCTTTCCTTTATCGCTTGAAGCACACCTCCGCAAACGCACGCGCTACCCTCACACCTCTCGCTCATGCGCACCTCTTGCGCACCTTTGCGTGTGTTATCTTCTCATGCCTTTTAGCACCCATCTAGTTGACAGAGTTTCCCTCCATTTTTATTAGTGAGGAACTTCTCTCAGTAGTTGTCCTTTGGGTCAAGTCATATTCTTGTATCCAGGTCTTGCTGTAGAGCCCCCCTTTGGTTTTTAGTGGTCTCACCCATAGTCAAGATTCCTCACCTTCAGCGGGAAACATGGTCTTTGCCCCGAGTGTGTAGATAAAAACATAACCGGCATATGGTTTCAGTGCTGGAATGGTTGAGCCAAGATACATAAAAATGATTACAATGCTGACTCGCAAATTCTAGATCATTGTAGTCAAGAAGAAATTGATGATTTACCATAAACCATTGATGATATTAGAACTGTCAAGGAGTAGTGGTCAGTTTCATATCACAGATCCTTTCTATGATCTGATTGCTTACAGGAGAACAATACATCAGTAAATTCACACATTTCTTGGCAGACCTTTTTTCAAAAATTGAAACTTATTTTTAACTTATTGACACTTATTCACTTGGCTGTTTGTTTTCACAAGTCAAAAAAGGAAGCATATGACACACAAGTGCTGAAAGTAGCATAAGATCAGAAAAGTTAGGTCAAGTATTCAAAACAAAAATAAGTATAGCAAGTAAAATAAGTAGTTCAACTTGGTATGTAATCCGCGGCAGGTAGCCTGTGACCCATGTATTCCTGTACTAGATATATGGGTGTGGGTGTTATTCCCACGGTTCAAAAAACACCTGTCGTCCTTGGACACGACAATGCTTTCTTCCACTGCTCTGCCCCTCCATCTTCTTCAACACAACACTTGTCTTGGAATTGCGGCATCTTTCTCTGGTAAGCCGGAGAGGTGGGTGTATTTTTTATGCTGCTTCACCACGCTAACCTACTTTGTTTTTTTACATGGCCTTTTACCTGCTTACCCCACGCTGATGGTGTTGCAGCCGTATCCCACTCTTAGACCATGCATGATCTCATCTTTTGATCTGCTTACCTGATTCTGATGGTACCACAGCCATATCCTGCTCTCAGCCAGTGCATGATCTCGTCTTTCGAACTTCTTGGTGGACATTGATGGTGCCATGATGTCCTGCCTGTAGGTACTATGTGAGTAAGTCTTTGTTTTTCTTGTCTTTTTTATACTAATAACATCTCCTGCAGCCCACTCTTGTACCTTCGCCGCACCTTCCTGTAGCTTCTCACATTCTCTGACAACTTCCATCCACTAGGACCCTTGTGTTATTCTCCTGCTCACTACTTACTCTCACTCACTCACTACTTACTCTATCCCGCTTGCTTGCTAGTACTCATTATATCATTTACTCCCTCTGAAATTCATTGTTTTGTGTTTATGATCTTAACAAGTGTGAAATAAGTATAATAAGTATCTCTGAATTGTGCTACTAGCACGGCTCGCAATGTAGCAATAAGTAACAAAATAATTGCCAAAAAAGCTAAAATAAGTTTGGAAAAAGTTGAAGTCAAGAGGAGGCACCTGCTTTTTCGACTTATAATCGTCTTGTGGCAAGTTCATGGCAAGTTGATGTCACCGTTCTTATGAATGGCTTTTCCGCTCCTTTTTGGGAATTATCCGGCGGCAAGTTGCAGGTCAAGAAATGTGTGAATTTACTAGTGATACTCAAAATAGGATTTGAAAACTCGCTTAACACGCTTAACATGCTTTGAACTCTCGGTTAAAGTTGGTTTCAACTCGCTCAAAACATGCTCAGCGCACGTCGGCACGAAGTCGGAGATTCAAACACTTGTGATTTTTCAAAGTGTATGTTCATAGGGGGAAGTCGTACATCAAGTAAAAAAAAGCAACCCATAGTAGATATACATTGTATTTTGAATGTTAACATTCATAAAAAAGGGAGTCCGCATGAGAATGAAATCAGCTGTAGGTAGTGAATGCCGGAGGGACTAAATAAGTGCTGAGGGGAGGAGGACACATGAAAAAGATCTGCATGAATCTGCAGAGACACAAGGTAAAGTGAAAGACGATGTTATAGTTGTGGAGAGTACGGCTACCTTCGAGCTGCTTTCCAGGATGCTGCCGCATGCCGCGCCTCAAGCCTCAAGTTGAGTGGATAATGGATCTTGAGTGGTGCTGCGCTCTTGTGGGCCCATACCGGTGCGGTAATGTTTGGCAGATAAGCCATAGTTGTTTCGCAGTTGCTCAGCAAGTTCCTCACACTCCGACTTCGAGAAGCTGTGCACAATGCCAGTATGGGTAGCATGCTGTGACTTGATAAAACCAGCAATGGCTTGAACCACCTTCTTTTTCGTGGACGGTTTAGGCTGTACTGCGGCATAGTACAGGTTGGGGCAGTTGAAAGACTGCATCAGGCATAAGGGGTCGCATAAACCTAAGCATGCCTTGAGCCGGCTGGATTGGAATGAGTGCAGAGTCGATCCCTCAAGAAGGGGAGTGTAGAAGGTGTAGGGGGTAGTGAGGAACCAGCGGCTTGGCGGTAAAATTGAGCCGCTGTTGGTCATGTGTGGGACCGGCACTAGAATAGAATTCCTGTAAGATAAGGGTGAATATGTTAGCTGGAACTTACAGGAGGCAAAAAAAATACTTACCTTGGGTTGATGACACCTGAAAATTTGATGTCCTGCTCAGTGCTGTGTGTGAGCATTGAGGCTGGATGGTGAGGTCGACGATGGCATCAGCATGCTCACTGCGAGATGAAACTTCGGAACTTTCCAAAATTTCAAACTCCACCACAAACTACGTCACATATACACAAATGGATAGGAGTTTTGATTTCCTCGACTCCCCGATTGTGACCATGCCTCAACCATCCATCCGTAAAGAACTCCTGGCTATTGTAGACCAGGCCGAACTTTCCCTGGCCAAGCTACAGTACCAGGATATCCTGGACGATTGGTCTGACTTTGAGAGCGATTCTGACTCCGAGGACTCCCTTTCCACTACTTTGGATGATGATAATTCAATCAATCTATCTTTTAGCTCGCCTTCCCCCCCCTCCCCCCTCTCCCCTATGACAGAGGCTTCAGATTCTTCCAGTGATGATTCTATATCCTCTGATGACATTGCTGTGCCTTATGACCGCCTCCGTGACACCATTAATGCTCTTCGTGATGAGGTTAAGAGGGCTTGTGTACTCCATAAGCCCGATGAGCCTCCCCCACGAGCACCTCAGCTTCACATGTTGGTTCATCACGAAGAACACCACCCTCACTTGTTTCGGCAGAAACTTCGCGTTAACCCTGAGATCTTCGATGACATCCTCGATTTTATCTCTGATCATCCCATCTTCCAAAATCAGTCCAACAATCCTCAGCTCCCTGTCTCCATTCAACTTGCCATTTTTTTGAATCGAGCTGGCCACTATGGAAATGCTATTACTCTTGAAGATGTCGCTCAATGGGCAGGTGTGAGTGTTGGGTCTGTGGTTAATTGCACTAATCATGTGATGATTGCAGTGCTTGATGCTCACAATCAATTTATCTGCTTCCCAGCGGATAATTCTGAGGATGCTGACCTGGCTCACAAATTTGCCGAGTCGCATACCTGCCCAGAGTGGAAGGGTGGCTTTCTAGCAATTGATGGCTCAACTATGAATCTTTTCACCAAACCTGGTTACTTCAGTGAGACATTTTATGATAGGAAATCCAAATATTCCCTTGGCTGTCAGGTATTTTTTTTTTTAATCTTCATGTGCAACAATTAATTTAATTCTAGGCAGTCATTTTACCGCATAATCTTCTCATTGTTGATTATTCTCTTGGTCATCCTGGGAGTGTCCATGATGCATTTGCTTTTCGATCTACTCATCTTTATGAAGAGCATGCTGACCTTCTCCCTGATGGTCATTGGGTTTGGGCAGACAGTGCATACCCATTGGAGCCATGGTGTATTGCTCCTTTTAAGAAGCCTCGCAATGGTCGGTTGACTAAGGACCACAAGTCCTTTAATTATCATCTCTCTAAGGTATTTTTTTTTTGAGGTTTATATTTCAGTAAATTGAATTTTTGTAGATCCGTGTTCGTGTTGAACACACATTTGCTATTTTGAAGGGATGGTTCCAGTCCCTTCGAGAGCTCCGGTTCAGAATTCAGGCTGAGAAAGACCTTGAGTTCACTATGTAGTGGATCAAGTGTTGTATCATCCTGCACAACATGATTATTCGCTTTGAAATCGAGCATCGCAAGAGAGATGGGACATATGAGAGCTCTCTAAAGTGGGCTCGTGAAGAGGGGGAAGATTGCATTGACCAAGAGGTTGAGTATCCAGATGGTGAAGAAGTTGTTGGGGACAGAACTTATGAGGGCACTCCAGGACAAGCTGCTAGAGCAAGGTTGATGGATGCACTCTTTGACAGTCCTCACTCAAATGCACACCATAGGGAAGGATGACAACAATAGTGCTTGATTATATATGTACTACTACCAATACACCTGTACAGCAAAAGAAAACAAACATAACAATGACAGTAACAACAAAGGGCATAGTAACAACAACACAAATGTAAGCATAGTGACAACATCAACAAGTAAGAGACAACAAGCAACAACAAATGGAGACGATGAGCAACAAATAGAGACAACGAGCAACGAACAGAGACAGCGAGCAACGAACAGAGACAACGAGCAATGAACAGAGACAGCGAGCAACGAACAGAGACAACGAGATGATGATGACAAAGACAACGAGACAACTCACCCAACTCCTCCATCTAATGCCACCTTGCTGGCCTGCATCATTTGGTGGAATTGAATCTTGAGTCGCAGAGTCTCCGCTTCCTTGTCGAGTACTTCTGAATGTGCTTGGTGGACACGAATGTCCGTCTCACAAAGGCGAATCTCGGTGGTTTTCACCTCTTGCATGTGCTGATGGGTGACAGTGGCTTGGGAGGCTTCATGCTCGCGGTTGGAACGAAGCCACTCATACTTTTTAGTGTCGCGACTATGCTCGCTTTTAACCTCGAGCTTTGCGAGGAAGTGAAGGTGTTTGCTGTCATGGCGCGACATCGTGTCCGAGTGCATGCTCTCAATCTCGTCTCTCACCTGTCCCACCTGCTGTGACACGTCCGACTTCACCTTCTTCTTCTTCGAGCTGCCGGCGCTATTTGGAAGGGAGGTCTCAGGTGTCGGGGACATGTGGAAGTCCGACGACGAGGTAGTGTTGCGCGTCGTCGATGATGGTGTCGATGCGCTGCATGACATCTCTGACGGCAGTCTGCGTCGGCTCCCATGGCTTGAGGGCTTCTGTGCCCTAAACGCTGAACGGCTGTTGTATGCCGATGCCGGAGTTTTTGCTGGTACCTCGAACGGTTCTGGAACATTGGGAGGAGGAGATGGCATTGAGGGGAGCTGACGCTTCTTCCCTGCAACTGGGGAAGCGTCATCGAGTATCATGTCGTCGTCCTCGGCAGGATCCCCCAGGCGCCTATCAAATGAAAAAGTATTTTCAGCATCATCGTCATCTAACGGAAGGCCAGGAAGATGGACTTCAGGAGGGGGATAGGATAAAGCAGGAGGGGGTTATTGCAGCACCACTGGTGGATACTGGCTGCCAGCAAGTATATTCGCGTTAGGAGGTACAGGGGGGGCGTAGTGCAGGGGCGCAGGATATGATAAGTTCGGGGGATGCAATGGCTGAATGTTGGGGGGATGCAATGGCTGAACATTGGGGGGATGCAATGGCTGCTGAGTGGCGCCGAAGTATGTAAAGGAACCGGCCCCGCTATTCGACTGAACAAGGGAATACAGGGCACCGGCGTGATCAACGCCTGGTTTTGACAAGTGTGTGGTCGCAGCCATCGAAGGATTGGAGTGCCAGATGGTATCAAGATCCTTGTACCATGGCAGCTCCAAAAGTGCTGCGTCTACAGCAATTGATCAGCCAATAACCAAGTAATCGAGACTGAGGACTCACCCAACAGGTTCTTTGCCTGACTCCCTTCAGTTGGCATCACCCCAGCGCCCGTGCTGCCAAATGATGCTTTGACCTTCTTGTATTTGTTCCTGAGACTGCATAAAATTTAGAATTTTTATTAGTAGAACAAAAAACAAAAGGACGTGCGTGGTGATGCGACTGCCAACAGCATCGCGGAATTTTTTGGGATTAGATGAATATGCGGCACTGTACTTGGGGTGATCTGTAAAGATGATCTTGGCGAGACCACCGTAAATTTGCCCCTTGTCTGAGCCCAAGGGGCTATCAGCACCAGTAGCAGCCATGGATTTTTTTCCATCTGAATAAAACAAAATCCTGCAATCGGCAGGGTGAGTACTCAGATAATTCACTAGCACATCAGTAAGTCCATGATCATTGTACCACTGAACAGTGAACCGGGGTCCAGTTGATTCCCTAGGTGTTTTTGAGCGAGGCGGTCCATCAGATGTTATGTCGTCGTCGTCCATTATGGGCGAACGAACGAGAAAGTTCACTCTGAGTCGTGCAGAACGACGAGCAGGAGGCATGAAGATTTCAAGCTCCACTTACCATGCCGGTCTGACCTTCAACAGCCGAACTCTCTGAAATGCTTTTAGCCGAGAGTTCAAAGCGTGTTAAGCGAGTTTTCAAATCCTATTTTGAGTATCACTACTGATGACTACCGACACCGGTGGCTCGTTATACTTTCTTGACAGTCAACTTCTCAGTCGATGATGGAGGCCCGGGTAAGTTTGACATGATACTGTTCGATTGCACTGGTGAAGGTGAAAAATGATGCTAGGATCGTGACTGAGTGGTATACTTATATACACTCCAGGCCGTCGAGGCGTTGGACAGCAGCCTGACTGACTTCAAGTTAATGCAGATGTGAATGCTATTCTGGCCATCAAGGCTGCGGACTCACGATGTCACATGTTCAGGACCTTCAGGTACAACACAGGATTCGTGAACAAGATACTGTTCTAGTAACGGCAGTGCCTCGTCTCGTCTGACATAAAACAAAAATATGTATTCCCCACTTACTACACTTCACGCCCAAGATGCAAGTCGCAAACTTGAATCCAATTGTCGCCACGATACTTCACCTGTAGTGATGTGCACGGCTCGGCTTGAGGCCCTGGGCCGGCCCAAGCCGGGCCCAAATAAGCCGGGCCCAGCCCAGGCCTAAGTCACGGCCTGAGGAAGGCTTGGGCCTGGGCTTGAGTTTCGAAAAGCCTGAGCCGGCGGCCTAAGCCGTGGCTTTGGCATGTTCAGTGGCACTCACCGGAGGTACGTTTCCCGACTCTATTTTTGTCTTTCTAAGCTTCTGACTTCCATCACTTTATCAGCTTCAACTCAGATGGTCCTGCACTGTCCAACATATCCAGCAATTCACCCTCCTTCAAGGCCTTATCTCTTGTCTGTTGCTACGGAAAAGCCACGGTGAGCTGCCAGCACTATGTCCTGTGCTTTGCGAGTTTGACATAACTCACTCTACCAGGTTTCAGTTGCGCAAATCGATATTTTTAGTAAATTTAAAGCCTTTTGTGCTTCGCCTTCACAAGTGTCTGCGTGATTGCGCACCCAGTACTATCTTTCAATCGATTTATGTTGGTACGTGTCCCTCTAACATCCCTACCTGCTACCCACCCATGACAAACACAGATGCCGAGCACCGTGTTGCACGTCCCGTGCGCAAAACGAAACCTACAGCCACCCTTCTTCAGCATGCCGAGCAGGCAGCACTGCCATCCCAAACCAAGGCAATTAACGAGTTCCACGCTGCGGAGGCTGCTAAATGTGCTGCTGAACATACCTCCACTTCATCCACTACCGAAATCACGCAATCTCCACCCACCTCTCCCATACCATCAGCGCCGTCTGTGAAATGTGCGCTACGACACGATCTTCTGTTCCGGGAGCCTCAACCATCATCTCTCGTTGAGTTGGATTACCTGGACGACAATGACGAAGAAGCGGAAGCGGACGCAGAGACTGGTGATGTTGTGGATGGAGAAGAAGCTTGGGACATGATGCTTTTGGGTGATGATGCCGAGGACATGTCGGATGTTGAGATGGACGTTTAGATACGTTGTATTCACGCTGTTGCTTGTTACTACTAGCCTACACTAATGAGCATCTATTGGCTTCCAAAAGCCGCGGCCTGGTTGGGCCCAAGCCCCGGCTTTGGGCTGGCTTGGGCTCACGGCCTAGGCTCTGAATTTTTGTGAGCCTAAGCCCTTCGAAGCCGAGCCTAAGCCGGGCCGGAACATCACTATTCACCTGTACGTCCACTACTCAATAAGCCACCTCTTAGCGAGCTAAAATTTGATGCATGTAGCCTCCGCGCCGCGGCAATGCTTTGGTGAGTACCTTCCGTGGAGAATTGTGAATATTCTCGCGTGTAGCTTCTGACTTTGCGAACTCGCTGTAGCATGGGGATTGTTTTCCTGCACCTCGCTCATAGAGAGCCCGAAATTAAGTACTATGCATTCTATGCTGGAGCACACGCAATCGTGATGGGCGCTCTCGGGCTGCTCGCCTCAAGAAGCACCTATCGAAATGCTCTTACGAAGAAAAATATGAATGAGGCAACGAAACCCCAGTCGAGCGCAGAAACTGCGCACGAAACCACTGGGACGGAGGGCATTTGGGAAGATGAGAAGCCTCGAGGAGCTTCTGAGAATGTAGATTTGCTAGTCTGATTGATACGCTGAGCCTGTGTGCAGGTACCAAGTAGGTATCCCATATATTGCAGTGCCAGACTCAATTTTCCTAGAAGATGTCCTGCCACTTGTCGCCTCGACGTTTTTTTGCGTTGCATAATCAAATATCGTCTTTCAGTGTACTGGTGCGGCTGAACTTCAAATTCAGGATGCAGCCAGAGAAGTTAAAAGTAGTTAATTGAACTTGATTCATAGGAATTCCGATGGTCCAATTCCACGCATGTACAGAACACCAGCTGAGATGAACGCCATGCGCAAAGGACATGTAGCGTGATTAATCACCCAAAATCAGAGTGACGTTAAATGGCGCTTTTGTCCTATAACTTGGAGTGTGAGCAAATGCGCTACTCGCATCAGGAAAAGTGCAAGGTGGCCTAAATGACTTGATTTCAGAACATCCAGGCTGGCGGAGTACTGCCAACAATGACTCTGTCAGCGTAAGGTAAGCTTACGGGTATGATAGACTCAAACTAGGATTATCAGGTTGTTGGCAGGACGTTCAGGTGTTGACCAGGTGTGGGCGGGTGTCTGCGCATTTGCTGACTTGGATGGCTAGTACTTGATCTGAGAGAATCGCAGGCTCCGGGTTATATCAAAGTTCGAGGATTCTGTTTCTACGAGCAAGTTGGCTGATCACTAGCGAGTCGTGACTGAAGACAGCATGTGAGAGGCAATCGATCCGCAAAGTGGGGAAATGATGAGTGTAATGATGGCAATTAGTCATGCGCTGATGAACCCCAGAACTCAGTGACATTAGTCGACGCTTGTAAAACGAAATTATGTTAGAGCGGTGTTCTGAATCTCTGCAGTCAATTCGCGAGAAGCCAATGGCATTATTGTCGCTTTCCCGGGCCGCCTCTGTGCCAGAAGGTCGGGCTGTCTGTTGGCATGAAATTTCTTGGCAAGTCAACAATCCAGTTTAACTTGAAAGGAGGACATACCAAGGTAGGGTGATATGATATGATATGATATGCATTAGTTGCGTCATCAATCATAGAACTTTGCTTCAGAAAATCTGGGGATCACATAAGGCCAAGCTTAAGCCATTAATGGTTTCAAAGTAAAATTCCTGGAAAACAAAATCGTTAAATAGTACTAGGTCGAGATTAGTCATTACATGCAGAGAAAAGCATTCGATCAAAACTCAGTACTCAAGTATCCAGGTTTAAGTGAGGTGCGTTTTATTACCGAGTTTGCTACTTTGCATGGGAAATAACTGGGCGACTACTACTAGTAGGAGTCATGGCAAATCAAGAGGAAGTCCGCAATGCATTGATTCTGGCATGCCACGTTGAAAGTACGTACGCACTTGCTGCCGATTTCGTTCCTACTTACTAACAAAGATCACCGCGTCGTCGTAAACTTTTGGCCAAATTGCAGACGTAACTTGAAAATTTGCAAATTGAATCAGTTTAACCACGCACTCGGCGAGCATCGACGTTGACTCACACTCCCGCGCTCTTCTCCCATCTAACAGGTTTTCCGCGGGAAACCACGACTTTGTTGTATTGCCCGTCTACCAGTGCACTGATTCATGTCCCTCTGGTCCTGCTCGGCAGCCGCATTAGCGTCACCCCCGAGTTTTTATCCCTACATATTATCGATTTCCATCCCCACGCAGTCATGGACAAGTTCTACCAGCCAGTAGCCTTAATCCATTACTTGACAGGTCCTTGAGTGATATGGACCGGCGGCCGCATCCAGTGACACGTCCAAAGATTGCCAACCTCATCGAAATATCTCTAGAGTAGGTGCGTTGGCCAGGACGGTTCCGTAGCATCTGGATACTAAGCATTCCGCATGATCTAGTTTCATCACCTTTCCGATGGAATTTCTATCGCGGTTACCCTCATCTTCCCTCCATTTTCGGCTGGCAGGGTTCCATTTATCAATCATGTCCCTTGCCATCCAATTCTCTGCTAGGAAATCAGCTCCACTTGCCTACACTGTCACCACTAATAAGATTTGCTTTTCAGCTGCGAATACGTAGTCATCATAACAGGTACTCATCTTTTGTGGACACCTGTCGCCGGCCATAGGCCAGTCCAAGGTTCGTCAAATGCGATAAGCCTTGCTAGATCCGAATCACAATCATGTCACGAGCATTCACGAGATACTTGAGCCCTGCAGTGTCTGCGTGGGTAACGTCATCGGTCTACCTGGCTCCGAATGCAAAGTGGCATTGTGAATGAACCCCTGAATAGTAAGTACTGAATAGAATGGTGGCACTTTCCGAGCGCTTCACAAGGTTGTCCACCCTTCCATCCAGGTACTTTATTATTAGCGGAACCCTGAACGGTGACACATCCTCACCTCAAGCTTCAAGCGCAGCAAGAGCTAAATTTGAATGAAACGTCAAGATTTTTATTAGCTCTTGACTTCTCCGACTTCCTGCTCCTTTTCTCATGCCATCCTCTCCTGCACGAATTAGCCAACCCCGAAATGATTTGTTTGCTCAATACCTTTGTTCGAATACCGGGATGTGCCCAGTACATACAACTTTACAACAGAAGCTTGATCGTAATATCACCAGCCAATGTAAGCAGCCTGGTTCTCTGGGTAGCCAGACCGTGCAGAAAGAAGGTGGTCGTTCCTCCTTCAAGTTAATTATGGCTTTGTCTGTTTACCATCAGCAACGACCACAAGAATAAAGTGGTCACAAATGCTCTGCATCCTCTCTCACGTCAATTTAGCTCATGCCCACTTTGTCGACCACAAGGTGTGAACGTTGGCAATATTCTGCGACTCTGCATCAGATCTCATGTGGATAAAGATATGTCCTCTCCTTAACGGTGACGTTCTCAGGGAACTGGAGAATCGGCTCCTCTCCTCACTGATACCAACGGAATGTTCTTAATGGTACATACGTCGTAAATAAGCGATACGCATTAATGCGGCAGCATCCTTTCGGTAACAATGGACTATTGTTTCCTTCGTTGTTGAAGGCCTTCGATTCGCAATGGCGCTAGTTCCTGTTAAAACGTGTTTCAGCCGCACACCGCAGTTATATTGGTATGTGTGAAATTGGTTAGGCCGGAATTTCAGTACTACCCGTCTCGGTGTTCCTGATGCGCATTTTCGACAAACTCGGATCAAAGTTCCTGTATCCTGTGATCTAACTGGAGGCGCTGCTCTTGAGTTCACGATATGATGACTACATTTTTGGATGTCAGACTGATTGTGATAGGGCATCCGCCGAGGCACCTTGGCCCGAAAGGGGTCACAACAGCACATAATCAACTGCATCCATCTGGACAGCGGCTATATCACGATCTTATCTTTGGGGCAGAACAGTGGCGCAACGAGTAAAACGTGGACTTCTTCATGTGAGGTCCATCAGTGAACCAAAATACTGCCTCGATGCACGTAGCCAGGTACCGACTGGTACTCACCCTTACTGATCTGATCTTATTATTAGAAAATAGTGCGAGTCGTGACGTGGGAGGTCAAACCGGTCATGCGTCAACCCCATGGGCATCTTCAAGAAGCTGGAAGACCTGTTCTCGCCTAAAACAGAATGAACTGCTAAATGTGTGTGTGAACCATGCTTCACCGACCATGTCTTAGTCGCACATCGCATGAGTTGGGGGTTCGATGCCGGCAACTTGGGGCTTGTCCTAATGATTACTTTTGTGATATTTATGCTTAAATGTGCATTCGCGGAGCCGTTGTGTTCTTTAGAAATGTCAGAAGTCATGGCAAGCAAGCACCGTGCAAGCATTTGACTTGCGACCGAGATGAATATAAGGGACCACCGGGACGACAAGGTTAAGGCTCCGCATAATTGGCCCCAGTGATCGGAAGTTCCAGGTGACATGTATTTCGTGATTGTTCTCCACAGGCAAAAAAGGCGCATATTAGGCATGTTAGGCATGTTGATCAGGGATGATCAATGATCACGAGAGAATCACCCTCTAAGCTGACAGTTATTCACCATGCTAGCTTGTTTGAGATGTTTAAATACAGAAGCACGTACCTCATGAATAGGACTGTCAGACTCCGAGACTGAGCTCCAATGCCATATTCGAGTGACTTAGCGCCGTCATGGGATATGGGTGGGTCACGTGTGGGTCAAGTACAGAGTGTTTCAACTTGACTTCTTTTATGTGCTGAAGAGCCAGTCATAAAGTCACACGTCATGTCCTTTGTGAGCCTTCTTGGACTTGCGCAGATGAGAATGTATTTGTCTCTGTTACGGAGACACCAAGCGAGGTACGAGAACGCCCACAATAGCTTCGAAGAGGAGGACGGGAGGGGCAAAAGCGGCGATTGGCCAAGGAACCGAGAACGAAGTCGCGGCTTGAACAAGGCGGGGAATTAGAAGCCATCTGTCAGACTGAAGGTGAATATTGTTGGTAGTTGTTGGTTACTGTCGGGAGACCAGTCTCCTTACCGAATCTTGCTGAGAGCAACCCATGTATTAAGTAGACGTAGGACAATATTCGGGACACAGCGAAGATGATAGGGTATTCGGATGCGATTCTGTGTGAGATCTTCGATGGTGGCTCGAGACGTTAGCAGAAGTGCAGAATACCATACATGAATGAACTCATATCCGAAAGTTAGGCTAATAACATAGCCGAAAAGCAGGCACTTGGCGACCAGTGTTCTAGCAAGTACTTGGCGACCTGTGTTCTGATACACGTTTGAGGGCTGATTCCACTCGGACAGCAGCACGATAGCCGGTGGGCACAGCGGGGACCCTGAATAATATCAGCCACTATCAACTTAGGTTCAGGGCATAATAGGAGGATATGACGACAGACAGAGACACCATGTTAGCAAGATTTGAACCTTCAAATGTCGTGTCAAAGTTGTGATAAAGATAGTGGAAGCATTATATTATTATATCGCGGAGTTGGGCGAAATAACCACGTTACCCGGATCAAATTACATAATTTAATTAACAGCCACACACAAAGAAAGAAAAAAACAAAGCTTGACCAAATCCACACCAAATACATAGCACACACTCCATCGACTAGCCCTTTTAGCCCTTTTAAAAGTCCATCTTCCACCATGCTGTTTTCCTGCTAACACCCTCTTGGCGACCTTTGTCGAGCTCAAGCTTGTCCTTGACTTTGTACTCTTTGTCTCTTTTATAACGACATGCATACCCCCTCATCATCGACATCGGCATCACACCCTCGTCCTATTCTAAAGCACCAACAAACAACTCCGAGCTATGGTCGTGCCATTAGTTCTCCAGGACGGCTTCATGCTGTTCACTTTCCCCCATCCCCGGCCTTGACTCGGACCTATTCGGCATACCCCCCTTCTACCTATGACCGCTCTCCCATTGTTGTGGCACCCAACACATGTGCTCTACCTGAGCGCGGGTGCCCTGGACGTACTTATACCCTGGACGAGGACCGTCCAGTTAGCTCGTCATCTACTTCAAAACGTTCACAACACGGCATTCATCTCCATCCTCGTGCCGTATTCAATCATCAATCTCAAGTTTCGCCCTCAAAACTGGGCGGCATTGATGATGGGTCGCAATCCACTCCTTGGTGCAGCTCCCCAACACAACCTTCTCTGATTCCTGATCTCTCTTCGGGGTCGGACGAGAGCGATGGTTCTTCCTCGGATTCATTAAATGCTTCTTTAAAACCTGCTCCGTCAATACCGTGGCCCCCCCGTACTCTAGGGGATTCCAATGGTTATATAATGACACCATCATACAATCAATACGATTATCCTAATCACAGCCCTAACGTTCACTCGACTCCCCCATTCCTTCCTTATCCTCCTCCTAGCGACGCGAATAAAGTCCGCCGTCAGAGACAGAAGGAACGTCCATGGGAACGGGAGCGAGGAAGCAAATATGGAGCATATACCGTGGACAATAAACCACGCGACAAACCCAATCACAGGCCCTATGTGCTATATGGAGGCTTTTCATCATCCACTCTTGACGGATCGGACGATAGTTGTTTGGGAGGATTTTGACAACGAGTCACTGTGTGACTATACAGTGAGACGTTTACTTGGAGGTGCATAACGACATTACGACTTCCGATATTCGTACACCGCCTGTTACCCGTAATAATGGCGCTTAGATTTTCCTTGTTGTACTGTATACTCAAGTATGCAAATTGATATCTATTGCAGGAGTAGTGTGGGCTAAAATGCACTGTAAGTTTGCTACTTTCTGAACTCATTTCATCCAAGCCTTTCTGTAGACCTCCCCGACACGTTTCCGAACTCATCAGGTTTATTGCAAATAGGCTGATTTCTTCCGAGCCCGTTGATGGTATGCACATCTGGATAGAAAAATTAATGTCGCGTCAACGTATTACATGATAATTTTCTGTCAGACTTGCCTGGCAGTTCTGCTTCTGTCCTGCAGCATCCGTGCTCTTCGCAACAACTTCTACGGCGCTTCTACCCACGTGCCATGAAAGGATAAGTTGCGCAGGGGTGGCCTCGTTGTGGCTGGCTATCTCACACCCACCGTCATGTACCCGCGGTCGCATAACTCACATACCAAAGTAAGGTTGGGGCTACTCCAACCGACCTAACGGAGCATATGCTGTTACAGTAATACTCTTCTCTTTGCAATAAACTAACACTCATTCTGCACTAGATAAGAGTGCATCCTGATGCCAAGGTAAAGTTCCTTCTCCTGACCGGTCATATTTACGCAATGCTCAGTCGACTTGAAGCATGGCCGGCATTATTTTGGCAGTCTTGAATAATGCTTCCGTCTGCGGACCTCGTTTAGAAGACGGCCTCCACCCATACAAAGATATGTACGTCTTACGGAGAAATTGCTCAGTCCGATCGCTTTAACCTTCCCATTGGCGAGGACCTTCTTCATTTCGGCCCAGGTATCGTTGAAGTTGCCTGTTTCATCCAGTCTAACCTGACCATGCGAGTCAGGGTTTTCAGGCCTAGACTCGGTTTCTGCACGCGTATGCGCATCACTCGGTAAATGAATACGGCATTTCTTACCATACTATGCCACGCTGTGAGGCCAAAGTACCAGGTACTACAGCGGTACCATCATCAGAAGGCACGATTGTCTTGGCAATGAGCCAAAGTTCACATACAAGGTCAAAATAATCCAGCCCTGCGTTCTTCAAGCTTTGATTGATGAACCATTGTACACGTTTGGTGTGTTAGAGGCTAGAACAGTCCAGACACGGCGAAGGGCATCGGAGGAGACAGACTTACGGAAGTTTCGTGGTAATGAAGAGTTCATCACGGCGGGGAATCCCAGAAGCCTCTTCAACAAATTTCTCTGTTCCGTACTATTTCCCTAGGTACTGTGCCAATGTGTCTGTAACCCGCTTGCAAGGCGGTGAGGACACAAGAAGTCGTTTTAGCCTGTTCAACAGGATCTCCGCTAATGAACATTCTAAGACCCTTATTGTCATGCCAAGTGCTCGCATATAAAACTCCCTTCGACAAAAACTAGGCTTGCCCACAATGGGAACCGCCCCTGTGTTCAAGGTCAACGTACTCGTTAGCCATTTAAACACGTCGAGGCGGCAAGTTAACAAACCTCCACGCTAGCGCTGACAGCTGGGCTTCACAAATATTCGAAAAGTCATGAGATGCTCAAGGCGTTCCGCAGTGATAGTACTACACCGATCCGCCCGCCCGGCACGCCGCCCAACTATCACAAGACCAGCCTTTGGGATTGTCCGCGGGGCCTACTCGACAGATGACAAGAATGACACTTACAGCAGGAAAAAAATAAATCCATCACCTCGGATGAAACCCCAGTCATTCCGGCGTAATTCCATATCCACCTTAAAATATTTGCTTCTATCTGAAGCACTCTTTCTTCTCGCCGCCATCTCAAGCGATCGAAACTCCACACAAGCACCTTTCCCTGCTTATCAGGCTGCATACATGACCGAATTCTATTCTTGTCCAACGCATCAATCCGTCTTGCATCCTCTTCGTGTAGTTCAATCACCTATTAATGCGCTATTAGAGAGGGAAGCTGGGAACACTCGTCTCTAAACTTACCTTCAAACACTCTTCTTGCCTACTGGCCTTCTCGCGTTTCGCAACAAGGCTTGTCCCGCGTTTGATGTACCATTATAGGACAACCTGTGTTAGAGTAACGTTATACTTTTTTTCCAGCGCCACGATGGCCGGATCTTGGCGCACAACGGCATAACCTGCACATTGTGATCAATAGTCATGTCGTCACTGATGGTAACAAAACAATATGAAATTTCCACCCACCAATGGCAGTGCAGGCGACAACCGCGATACCCTTATCCTTGCATCACCGCAAAACCTCATTCTGAGCTAGATATGGATGTAATCTGCGTCGTGGGTCACCTTGATGGTGACCGGTGCCCGACCGCAGTTCTTTCCCATATCGTAAATACGCAGCGCTCGCTCGATCTGCATAACAGCAGGCGTAACTTGGCCATCTTCAAATACTATTCCAACCTGGGGTCAGTCATTCCCATTCAGGACAAAATTCAGCCCCGCATCTGTATCGAGAAGTTGCCGGCGCCCAAAAGTCTGGCTGGCGCCAATCAATTTGACATTACCGCTGGCAAGAACGTTTTCCACCTCCTAGGTATCATCAAAGTCACACGTTTCATCAAGCCATCCACGTTCAAGAAGAGATGGAGTGATTATCTACAGAGAACCATCAGCGCCGGTAAATTAATTGAACGCATGATAACTTACTTTCGTTTAAGCGCAATTTGAGGCCAGCGAACGAGATGCTGTATCGAGCGACACAGCTATCCAGGGGGAAAACCGAGAGTTTGACCCACCGGATCATCGAGTCCAACACATTTCAGGCTTTTGTCTAACGTGCGTGGTGTGATTGGAAACTGCCAAATTGATGAGACGAGACCGCCGTTGATCTCAGTTCACCACGAGCGCGAGATAATAAAGCGACTCGCGGGAGCTTCGTGGTTATCGGTCTGTTGTGTCGATATGCCTGTACTCTGCTTCAAGCGCAGTCGACAGCCAAGAAGACGCTCGTACTAGCCTTTTTAAGGCCAGTCCTTCCTGGTTCAAGATATCAGTTCACATAGAATCATATCACATTAGGTGTATCCATGAACGCACCAACTTGCACGGCATACTTGCCCCGTCATTAAACTGCAGTGACTTCATTGAAGCAAGATCACTTCAGGCAATTTGAAGACTATGGTGTTGTTCGGAAGCACCGTGACGAAAGGTGGCGGCGGTGCAATTTGCCACGTACAGTCGGGCCCAATGGCATATGGAGCGCTGCACTATTACATATGGCGTAACGGGGAACTTGGAAGACCGACGCTTGATCAAGCTTTAAGCTCAACCATACTATCAACTGATGTGTGTAGGACGAACCGATTCGAAGCAAGCCGTTCCAGGCACCTGCCATCCTGGACACCATAGCGGAGGCCTTTTTTGTTGACGACGCGAGCGTCGGAGTTAAATTTCACGAGAAATTGGTGTCGACTGTCGAGGATCGTCCGGACGAGAGGGAGCTTCCAGTTGCTATGGTTGCTCTCGCAGGAACAGCGGTGAGTTCAATTTAGGACTCCCTGAGCGAGTTACTTATTGCTGTCTAGGTGCGCAGTGTCATCATGCAATATTCATCCGAAAAATACGACCGTGATTTTAATTGTGAATTATATAGCGGGATCTACAAAACACTCGTAGGTATCCTGAACGGTATCTTTGACACTAGTGAGCGCAAGTACCACGTACTGATGAATTCTGTCTATAAAACTGTTTAGTATGTGCTCGTTCGATTGATTTTCTCGTTATTTGACTGATCGTGTATTGCAGTGGCTCCAAGGCCAACGTGGTGTGCGATCTCGAGACGGACGAGGCGTTGATGTTCCTTGACATCGATGCAATGCCAGAGTCGGAGGAGTACGTAGTAGGTGACGAGCGCTAGTAGTAAAATTGACTAGGATTCACCTGAATTTGATTGTTTGCGCGATGTTTGAATTGGATCTATTGTCTGATTCACGCTTTGGTATTGGTAATAATTAGGATGAATTGTCTACAATTGGGAGGGGGACTAAAAAAATCAGTCATATCAATGGAACGTATCGAATCCTTGACAATCCGCGAGAATTCGGTGATATTGTGTCAAATTAGGAATCACCGATTTCCCTGATGGTTGCGCTCACTACGGCGCTTTCCAGGAACGCCTGTTCACGCCAAGTGGCGACCAGTCCACGCGGGGGGAATGGTAGTACATATTTTAATCCATATTCAAATATAAGTAGTTCCGGGTGGTAGCAGTGTAACAAGTCGAAATACAAGCACTGGCGTGCGGTATCATGCCATATCTGATGACTGCGGCGATAAAGCGGTGCAGAAGTACCCAAATCGTGAGCATTGTTCTTCCAAACACATTAATAGAGAGAGCGACGACACTACGCAGAGTCCAAAGACACGAACGCATGATCTTTCTCTTTCTCACTGATGGATGACGATTCGGGTTGAACTTCCTCCAAACCGAGCCGAGCTTTGGTTTCTGCATCAAGGTTGGACGAAGGTCCATGATAGTGTTGATGCGCGCTGGATGGTCGTGATTTTGAGATTGCTGAACATACACCGCAGAATTAACAACTCACCTGAGAACATACCACACCCTAGCCAGACGACATGCGACATTTAGTTACTTTAAACTTGAACAGAACTAATTCGTACTGACCCACTAAGAAAAACAACTCCGACAGCGATCACGGACGCGTAATTCATATTGAACTGAGTGACAGGGAACACAGTGGGCAGCGAGAAAATGACGCAGACAAAAAGCGTCCAGCTTATGCAAGTAACATTTGCTGCCAAACCGAGGAGACCTGGTCCCATGTAAAATGGTCCTGGGCGGAAATTCACATCTGGGTGATTTGCGTAGATGCGACGCCTAAAAGTTTGCCCTTGGTCAATCAAGCGATAAGAACGACAAAACCTTCTCTCACAAGAATATCGGAATAATGTAACTCATATCAAGTGCAATAGCAGTGAGCGCAAAGATGGCATTCGCGGCAATCGGGGAGGCTAGATCGAGGAAACCTGGAAGGATGGACAAGACAGTTGTAAACCAGATAGCACGCAAGGGTGTTCTAGTAGAAGACGCTATATGACCAAAGTATCCGTTGTCGGGGAGACCTGCGGACCTGGTCAGAACATGGAATATTTGCTAAACAATATTACTTGCCATGATCACGGCTGAAAGCATAGACAGTACGAGAGCATGCATGGAGTGCCGTTTGTGCAACGAAAAACGCTGTGAGGCATACGAAGCTCTTATCACACCATCAGCCTGATCAAGTACGTATCAAATAAAGAAAACAACTACCCAAAGGAATAGTGCTGCAGGTGTGCCCATGCGCAGAACCATGATCTGTTGCGTAGTGAGCTCATTTGCTTACAAGTGCATGACTCGTGTCATACCTGCAAGAATGCAGATCCAGATATTCCTGGCAGACTTTCTCTGGTTGTATTCATGAGAAGTGGCGGGGATAGATGGTGTGTAGAACAACATACATTGGACCTGAACACAGCATGAGAACGATATTCAATAGCCATCCCAATATCCCGGTTCCGATGACTAGATTTTCATTGATACTATTAGGAATTATCTAAAGATCAAAGCTTACCAGCAATGAATATTGCAGCAGGCGCTGGAAAGCAAGATATGAGGACTGCATATTAGACGCTCTGCAATGATATAACGTACCTGCGTACGCAGCACGACGAACTTCTTCGCTGAGATTGAAGATACATGAACTGGGCACTAAATGTTCATGAAGAATACGTACGAAATATGAGCGGTCGCATCATAATCCTGTTATATCATTCAAGTCTACAACGACTTTTGGAAACTGTGTAATCTTACCGTCATCTGATTGTATTTTGAGGTAAGTCAAACGTTACGAGTGATCGCCTTGTCACGTACCGTCCATTGTACACTCAATAGACCGAGCAAAAAAGCGATGCCATTATTCCAACCCCCGGTTTGATTGATAATTCCTTGACTTCCAAACACGTAGGTTGCTGGATGCATCTCTGAACGAGGCGTGGTCGCTAGCAGAACAATGATGATAACGATAGTTGCACCGAGGTTCACGAAGACGAAGCCTCTGGTAGCGAAGGCCAGGTACCGAGTCGCCAACGAATTCAAGAGTCCATGGACAATAAGAAGGCCAGCGAACAATCCAACCGTCTTGCCTTGTGTCAGCTGGAATGTTGGAGAAGATATTGATACTGCAGCCCATATCATGTTTGCGAGACCGAACTCCGTTGATGACACTCCCGCGACCTGACCAAGGATGTTTAACCAACCAACGATCCAGCCTACGATAGCGCGATGGGACTTTGGACAGAGTTGAGCTGACGCTGTATATAGCCCTCCGCATGTAGGAAATGCAGAGACTATCTCGGCGATGCTGGACCCAAGCGTGAAGCACATACATGACCCAAGTAACCAGCACCAAGTAACCTAGAATTAAGGTTGTTTCAACGTTTGGAAGTGATCGAGTTATGACGTACGGAAGCAGGACCTCCAAGTAACAGTGGTGTGTTGAGAGTCGTCGCGACACTCGAACACAATCCCTGTAATTTAAATTTGAAATGAGATAAGAATTGCCATAGAATGAACAAAACACACCATGATACTGAATGCAAAGCTAATTGTGGCGAGATTCGAAAACTCGCGCCGAAAAGAAGGCTTGTACCCAAGGGCTTCCAGGCGGTGGTCATCATCGTCAGTTGTGCCGGACATCAAGTTGGAGCGCGGATGTGGAAGCCAACAAAGTGTTGAATGAATGAATGAGCCTTAATGAGGGCCTTGGAGCTCAAGGCGGTGTGGGATCCACAATGCACACGTAGTATGATACCGTAGTTTGGGTCATCCGATAAGGTGAAATTTGATTTTGACAGCTGATGCGCCAATGATGCGGCGGCCTTGTTATCCAAAGCTTGAAGCCCGACTGGAGCCCTTAAAGACCATACTTATTCTCTGACCAGGGGAGAGCACCAGGTAGTAGGTGGTGGTGTGGCAATTCAGTGTATATTAAAAGAGTGTGGCATGTGCCACCCGACTAACTATCTCGGTAGCGCCGGAAAAAGTACTAACTACATAGCTAGGCCCACCGACGATGTCGCAGTAGAAGCGGGCGCGCCGAAACGTCGTGTGAGTCGCAGCTCAGCTAAACAGTATGAAGCTACACATGTAGTACGGTGCACAGATACTACTGCGTACACAGTGTCTGCTGCGTCTATCGGAGACTGGCTGAGTGCACTGGCCAGTGGCAGTTGATCCGACAGAAAGACCGAGCTCAATGCCTGCTTGCAAGAGGCTTTGTCGCCGTCTTTCTTGTATTATGTAAGTCTGTCTCCGCCGGGAAATTAATTTCTGCAGTGACCAAGCTGATTGTTCATGTTAACGTTGACCGGGGAATGAGTAATTCAACGCTTACCCGGGTAACCACGCTGTTACTCGAGACGATGGGACGATCACCAGCACTGGTGGCACTGCTGCAGTCTGAAACCGCCACAGCGACAGGAAGCCTGACGGCAGTCAACACAGCTTGACAAAACCTTTTAAACTCGGCATACTTGTCAATTCGACTCCAGCACACCATCTTCAATCTCAATCAACGCTCTCCTAACTCATTCGACCCTCTCACACGGAACACCATGACTCTAGTTCTACCAGACGGGTAAGTCCAAGCATGTACATTCGAATCTGCCATGCGCTAATGGTTTGCTCAGTTACCAATACATAGCTGCCTCGTTGCTGTCGGCTGCCTGGGTCATCGTATGGCAAATCGTACGTATCGGCTCTGCCAGGAAGGCAGCGGGCATCCCTTATCCTCAACGTCAGCCTTCCCTTAACCTTCTCCCTGTCTCTTACTCAACTTGGTCTAGTGTATGCGGAGAACGCTCAACTAAAAGAAAATCCAGCTGCTCTTCGGTACAACTGTGTCCAGCGTATGTCCTTCACGTTCGACGCGGCCCAGTACATATTGATTTGATCCTCCGGATTTAGGTTGCCATCAGAACACTCTCGAGACTATCCCGTTGATTCTTATTTCGTGAGCCGATCTGCACTCTGACCTAAGGACCAACTCAGTGGACACGTATTTGCAGCACTCTCATAACCGGACTCAAGTATCCTCACTTTGCCGCCGCCACGAGTTTCTTCTGGGTGCTCACGCGTATCGCTTACACCATTGGGTACTCCACGGGTGTGCCAGAAAAGGCAAGTTACTCTACTCAGGCAAACGAAGATTTCATGTTTGTTGACATTGAATTATAATAGCGCAGCGCAGGTAGCAGAGGTGGTTTTATTGCTTTATTCAGCTTATTAGCCACTGCCACTGTTACCATCGTGCAAGTCTGTTTCTTCTAGTGGTCGTGGTGCCCCTTGGAAATGCAAGATCAAGCACTATTCCAGTACTGCAAATCTATAACATGTCATCGTTACGTCTTCTCGTGAATATAATCGGCTCGACTATTTGAACCTTTCTTCTGAGGAAGTTGTCGAAATACGTCTTGAATCATAATCTCGATGATGAGCTATCTTCCTTGCTGGAATGTGCTCCTTGTGACAGTAAGCTGTTCTCTTATTGAATTCGACTTGTTTTTTCAAAGTTCTTTCAAGTCAATTTCGAGTTATCCGACATACTGGGTTATTAGTGCACTCCATATCGGTGAGGCATGATTAGAGAGATAGGGCAAAAAACATGTTTATGTGGGCATATATCACAACAGTAAATCAGGGTACTCGAGTTAGAGGCGTAACTATCAGCATTCACGCGACGCGCACCAAAAGAGAGTGGGCAAGCCTAAGCATACAAGAACTCAACTAAATGCCCACATATCTGACGAGAACGTCGCATAACGAAGGTGGAAAATTTTTGGAGGGGAGCACTGCCCCACCATCTTCTACCCCAGCAATGCCCACAGCAGTGACCCATGGCGTCGCAGTAACAATGAACCAACAAATTACCCACACATATCCCATCTTACGCGTCCACTTCGTCTCTGTCACTCCCGCACGCCGAGCAGCAGCTATGATCATATCCTCAAACGTGATGGCGAATGCCTGATATAGGAAGAAAGGGCTCGAAATGCCAAGGCGAGAGGAGTTGAGCACTGCGTCGCCTCCTATATGAGTAATGCCAGAGATGAAAAAGGCAGTGTACAGTTGAGTGTAGGACGATCCATTTGTTCCGGGTTTGAAACCAAGAAGTGATGCTATCTTCTGGCCAAAGGGAACCAGGAACTGATCCGATTGACGGTAAGTACACTTAATCTGTAATTTCCAGTGAAACAATACTCACGCGTCGAAAACATTGATGCCAAGTTCGACTGGCCAACGAACAATGCATTAAGTACAGAGCATGTGCCAGACGAATGACTTACCCCCAGAATCGTCTGATGGTATATGCGTCCTCCCATTTCCCAAAGAAATTGGGCCACGAGCTCGGCTCAGACGACGTGCAGCTTACAGCAAGAGCCGCCATCAATGAATGGATGATAACACCCAAGCAATAATAGAACACTAAATATCCACCACAGGCCAGAATGCGACGGGTGAAATTCTGAGATGCGAATGCTGTAGCGGACTTGTATGCCGGATTGTGCCTTATGTAGAATTGTGCAAAGTCGAACCACACGAAGTGCCTAGCTGCACTCATTAGACGCGAAAGGACAAATTCTTGTCTTGATTTTGCGGAGTGCTCAGGCAGATTTTTCACCTGCAGATGAGAATGATCAGGGCTTGCGAACGACTGGTGCTCCAGGGTAAACTTACTTGATGATTCCAGCCCACTCCTCTGGGTGAACCACACAATTGCGCAGCCCAGATGAACCTTTTGGACCAAGAGAGTTCGTGCGCCGACCGTGTTTGCTTCCGATGACGAAAGGTGTGAAGGGGTCGGACCAGCAATGTCATGTGTATTGCATCCATAGCAATGCTAGCAATTGCCATGCCGATGAAGTAATCAATAAAAAGAATATTAGTCTTAGCATGCTGGATGCAAGTCCAGCAGACGAAGATAACCGTGCTGCAAGTCACAATATTCCAAGGAACCCGCAAGTCCAAAGTTATGCCGAGCTGTAGGACCAAGGCGGGGACCTGTACGCAGATGAGGGTTACAAGTGGACTCATGGAGGATATCGACTTACCTCCCCTCCCTCAGACTCTTGAGTTCTTATAGGTTCGAGACTTCGGAGTGCAAGGGCAATCCACCAGCTGGATATGGCATTTGTACCGTACCTTCCTTTGTACTTCCTGCCTGTCAAGCGATATTGAGCGCGCTGCCTATGTCGTCAGCTCATCGATGTAAAGTGAGCCCCAATGTGTTGTGGTTCTGCTCATCCTCGAGCAAGGCAGACGCAGTAGGTTGAATGGTGCTTAGAGTCGCAATACACCCGTCAACTTTCCCTGAGAGTGCGACATATGTTCAACGAAATGTTCTGTTCTCCGGTGAAAATAAGCGTGTGCATCGCATGTGTCATTTAACAGTGTCAATGATTCTGACTTTATCATCGAGGAATATAGGTCTCTCCCACCGATGTTATTGACGATGCTTTAGGATGAAGTAGGAATGCATGCACCCATTAGTAATAAGACAACGCGAACCCCAAACTGACCTTCACGAAAACGCTAGATTCCCAGTTTCAGACGAGTCCCCTTAGAACTGTCTCCTCTTGGCCGCACAAAGCCATAGCAAGTGTACATGGAAGGGTAATTTCTGGTTCAGATTGCCCAGTGTAACACGTACTTTTCAGTTCTTACAACAAGAACCAAGGGCTTGGAAGAAGCTCACATAACAACGGCGACTTGACATCGAAGCCAAACAAGGAACGTATCTCACCTTCCCCAGTTTTTCCTGTGCCTGTGCCATTTGCCTAATGTATGTAATTAGCCTGTGAGGATGAGACTATCCTGAACTCGGAATTTCAGAGGAATTCGGTCGGACGCAAAGCTGCGAAAATGCCACAAAGTGCCTGAGTTTGACCCACCACTTGCAGCGCGCTGCTAGCAATGATCGATCATCCCGGAATAACGTGTGTGTGACTTCTTGATCCGACAAGACACCGGCCCTGCTACCCACGGTCACGCCATGATTTCCCCCTTGCACAATACCCTTTACCGGCTACTAGGTTTGGCTGGCCATAACTTCAATGGTGGAGTACGGAAACATCGTGCCACAGCCGAGTGCAACTGGTGAATGTAGGAATATCCGAAAAAAGGGACGTCTATATACGACACATTTGAGAAAAAACCAACGGGTGTGTATATGTAGGTACACTCGTGACCAGTCGCCTCCAAAGCGGTCGCGTATCTGCCGCGCAAAGCTGATGGCCTCAGAGACGCATTCTCCCTCCAGCCTTCGCACAAGCACAGATCACTGCATCATATACCCCTTCGGTCGGCACAATTCCCGAGTCGAGCATCTCAGTCCACAGGTCTAGGGCACGCTCGGGTTCGGGGGATAAGAAAGTCGAAGCATGCGCGGATCACCAATGCGCAAAGATAGCATCTGGGGTCGGGTGCGCAACGTAGCGCATGTGCGGGAAAAGGTCCCAAGCTTGTGAATTCGCAGCCAGTCTTCCTAATGGCACGTCCGGCATTGAGGATATCGAAAGAGGTGAAGGAGAGGGACGGACAGAGAATAGGGAGGATATAATGCATGAATAGGACTTCATGGGGGCATGGAGCCCAGAAGCCTCATACTTATGTAGAAGGCCGATAGCACGAGTGGGAAATGCGCGCAACGAAAAGACAGCCGGGTCACGCAGGTGTGACTTGATATGCAGATCTCGTTGAGTCTCAGAAGGTTTGCCTATGCATAGATATAGTCAATCAACAGTTGCAAGTGCATGCACCGAATACGAACCGTTTAACAAATCCTTCTATGTTGCCATGCAATGGGTGATATCCGAGCACGATATCAACAATGTCTTCAGGCGGTGTAACACCGGAAAGCTGAGCTATTCGTGAACATCTAAGAATGATGATGACAACCTTCAGAGACTCTATTGCACTTTCAGCGCTGCCCAAGTCTCCATCGCACATCTATGAGATCTGTAAGGTGCTTGACTCCATCTTTTTGAAGTTTAGAAGACGCACATGAACACAGACCCGTTCTCTCACTTCAATCATGGCTCGTGTATCTCTATCTTCTTCAGAGCGCTTCGCGGGTCGCGACCTCTACAGGTTGTTGGGCAAGTGGTATTTCCAGCAAGTCTTCATACATTGACAATAGCTGCTCGTCTGTGTAACGAGGGGAAAATGCTGGCTCTGACTCCGGGGTAGCTTTCAACTGAACAAAAATAGGCTGACATTAGAAAGTGTATGGTTAGATTCAAAAGTGAAAGCCCACCGACTGAGAGTGCATGACATCCGATGACGCTTGCACGACAATGACTCTCCTGTCAGGCTCGGACATTGTGGATGTAAAACTCTTAGGCAACTTGAACACAGGGCAATTTTCCAGAGTCTCGGATTGCCAAAGTGCTTGGTGTTCTGCGGCGTCCGCACCGCCTGGATTGCATGAGCTTGGACAACTGATACAGAACAACAAAGTTTTTGTCTCAGCAGGCTCAAAAGCCGGTGCAGGAGACGGTGCAAGGGCTATCATCTGGTGTAAGTTCCATGAATGACATCCCCATGTTGATCAGACATGAGCAAAGCTAAAATCGAGCAGACCGAGGTGAAGGACAGTCTTTGGAGGACAGTCTTTGGCATAGAATAGGTCGCAAAAATACAACAGAGTATTGAACGAATATCAAGTACGCGCTCGATATTTCGATGATTGCAAGGGCAGCTTATGCAGTGGAAAATGACAATGACTGTTCTCATCGTATGGCAGCAGAACCGCGAAAAAGTCTAAAGGTCAGGTGACTGTTACATTTCAAATATATTAGCCAAATCCAGCAGTAAGTACATTAATAGAATGTACAGTGTATCATAGGCTACAGTGTGGTGATCGGTCATAAATCCAGTTACATAGCACAAGCGAGCAATGTCTGCAATCGCGTCAGTACTCAGACACCGCCCACGCGCAAAACCATCCAGAAAAGAAACAACCAAGTGCTACGACTTCTCGATTTACCATGGTTCGTCCAACAACAAATCCACAGCAGGAACTTTTGCCCGAAGTTCAGATATTTGTGCCGTATTGATCTCGTACATTTGCATCACTTCAGTGATCTTATTCAAGATGTCGCGATCCGCGCGTTCCAGGACGGTCAATTGCTTATCATAATCTTGAATCCAAGTAGGAACTTCTTCACTTGTTGGGGAGGCGAGATAGGACGTAACCGCGAGCTTGATGGCTCTACGAGTGAGTTCCTGGCTTTCTGACACGATAAAAAGTGTCTGCAACACAAGCGTCAAGTGAATAATGTAGGCCATGAAGCGCTGAAGCACCGGGTGGCTGACAAAGAAGTGTTAATATCTTTTCGTACAGGAAAAAAAAATAGTGATGCGTACGATAACTTGTATACATCATAAGCCCATACAGCGAGTACAGCACCTGCTGCGATTGGTACTACGATAGGAGCCGCAGGTCCCGCCAGGGCCGACACGATGCCCGCAATAACGCCCACCATGGATAACCCAAAAGCCCTGTAAGCATTCAATGAGATAAAAATCCATTTGTCACGTAAACGACCAGCTTACATGTTTTTGTTGGGATTAGCTGTCGGTCCAACTTCTATCTTATCGACCATGTTCATCATCATCGTCCTGAACTCTTGACTGTGCAAGTACTATGCGCAAATCGCGTTAGGGTGGATGCGAAAACGGTAAATAACCTGGCCATTACATGATGAGGGTCATGGAAGTTCCACACATTGACGATGTCAGTGTGAAGCACATGTAGACAATCCCACATCTTGCGGTTCTTGAACGTTGGGCACGACGCAAGCGCTTTCCAGTATCCTGCAAGACATTAAGATTTAGATCGTGCTCGGTAATCATGAACGCGAAACTGGGACAGACTTTTCCTGCCAACTCTGATGCTGCGTAAATAATCACGAGATAAGAATGAAACAAGGAAGACGCACTCGATTGATGCCTTTATTTTGAGTCCAGGATGCACTCGCTGAGCGATAGAGGTCATCACCGCGGCCTCAGACGCAGAGTGCTGAGCGGTGGAGGTCGTCGCCGAGGCCTCGGACGCAGAGTGCTGACCGACACACTTTTCAGTTACTTGGATCAGGTGAGTGAGCGTCTCTTCATAGTCTTCTTCGGCTGTAATATTATGCGTCAGAGGCATGCATAAACTTGTCGAAGTATTGATACACACTAGAGATCATAGCGTGGGGAATATCAGGCCCTGCAAATCGTTCTAGAGGTCCAATGCAGGTATCCTGCAGCTCGACTTCTGCGTTCTTCTTAGCGAGTTCCTTGTGCGCTTCGTCGCTCAAAGAGCTTCCACCTAGAGTTCGCTCCATGCGTTCGATGAGCATATCGTACTTAGTAAGAACGACGATAACGGGAACTTTGACAAAGCGTGAGCTCCAATGTAGCAGAGAGATGGTTATCAATCCACTTACCATTTCGCAGCGTTTCACTATTTTTCGATTTCAGGAATTTCTCCGTTCCAGTCTCTAGCAAACGTCCGCCTGCACGAGGTATCTCAAAGCAAAGCCTTCCATGTGTTTGGTCAGTCCACCATAACGGAATGTTCGAGATAGAATCCCTACCAAACGGCATGCAACTGATGTTCCGGCGACATTTTCCTCCGACGGTCAATGAAATCTCGGACTATTTCGAGGTTGTATTCGTCTCCTGGTTCAAAACCTTTGCTATCGTGAAGAACAAACCTTTCGTTCCGAGTTGAGATGAGCTCCCTGTCGATGTTGGCCTCGCCTGGCTTATCGTCTGCAATGATCTATTGACAGTATGAGTTGCTGTGCTCGTTGAAGGGTCATGTTTGACCCACCTCTTTTTCCACTCCGAATGCATGGCTGATCAGCGATGATTTGCCGACGCCAGACTATTAAAAGCACGTCGTCAAGACTGGCCTGAGATCGGAGAAAGCCAGATACCTTTCCTATCACTAGAATTCGGAACCTTGGGAGTATCAACCTCAAGAACGGCAGTTTATGATCATCCTGACTTACCGAGGATATTTCTTGAATATTTTGGAAGTGGTAGGCTCAAGGCTTTGATCGGGGGAGAGAGACTGCTCATCCTGCTGTGTAATCTACGATTTAGACGGGCTTGATGCCAGACGCGGATCCTTACTTCGGTTGTTGTATCATTACTGGAAAATTTGATGACGATCGTGATGTTGTTATGAACCTTGTTGTATTCTGTGCATGTGAAGTTGAATTCGCGAGCGATCGAGGTGAGAATGCAATAATTCTTGTTTTACCTTGTTGACTTGCATTATACGCACGGAACATGTCGTCTGGATCGAAAGTGATGTCTTCATGATGCTTGGTTCTCAACAAATGTTTCTTGTGCCGCATATGTAAGGAAAAAGATTCCCCATGAGCAAACACCCTAACGCAACACGGAAGCAAAGTCAGGTGAGAACATGAGTTGGGGCCGAGTACTTACATGGGTGGAGAATACGTGTGTCGCAAACTCTTTCCTGCTTTGTGTTCAATTGGCGAATGTGATTCGCCAATCCGTACTTCAGCAGATTCTATGTTCGTTTTCGACTTGCTGAAATCGACGGTGATACCTATTGGACATATTCAGTGGGGTTGATGGTAGTACTTGACAACAAGAATTGAGTACCATGGATGTAGAGAGCCATTGAGGTGTGAAGAGCGTTAGCCATGCTGATTTGATCTAGGGAAGAGTTCTGCTCTGAGCGCTGAGCTACGAACGGGGGTCACAAGAACCTGGTACTATAGCTTGCGATAAGAGCTGGGGTTAATTATAGTTCATCAGACCCACCGCCGCCTCTCAAAACCGTGACAATGTGCAACGTACGTGATGACAAGACCTCGTCAGGTAATAGGAACAGCGGCAGCAAAAACTGAACAGGACAACTTTCTGGCGCTCGTCAACGCCGATGATTAGTCTACATAAACCAAATGTGCCGTCTGATTATATCTTTTCAAGTTATCGTATTCTAAAACACGAGCCTGCGCTGGTACCACCCTTATCATGCATCCTATGCTATTTACTAAAGTAGAATAAGGTTAATTAAATAAGCACTCCATTGTTTTCCTGGAGCAACTGGGCGAGAGGGCAGAAGTCACGCTTTGGCGCGGGGGTCGCAGTCAGCGTGAGGGTCCGATGCCGGGAGAACTGCAGACTGGTCATGACTCGTGGTGGGCAGCGATAGGTGTAATGGTAAGGTAACCAACCTTATACACGAGCAGAAAATACCTGTAATACCGAGCTTGACCTCTGCTGTACTAAGTTAGGTAACACACGTTTTCAGGAACTCTGGGGAGCCGAAGTACTTTGGAAGTACAACATTGAACACTAGAGCACGTATCATATATAGCACGACTCCAATGCTGTCGTGTGTTTCTTACATTTTTGGCCTTACGGACCTTACGCTGATGTCAGACCAAGCTGTCCACATGCAACTGCCTCATGGTACACAGCTATATCAACATTAATATCGCGGGGCCCATTGCTAGATAGGCTGGTTTCGGGTTGGGCATTTGCCGGCTTCACATATCGCAAGGATTATGAGGCTACACCAACAATAGTACTTCTCCCTCACATTTACTAGTACCTTCCCCCATGGATCCTTCAGAGATAAGAAAGAAAATCGGTCGCTTTCGAATCCTCGTCATAGGAAGAGCGAACGCAGGAAAAACTACCATCCTCCAAAGAGTCTGCAACACATGGGACAGCCCAGAAATATACAACATCGCAGGGGAAAAGGTGGGCATCACAATGCTAGTAGGAGGATGGTACTGATCCATCGACATCAGATCGATCCTGCAGTCCTACAGGCATCTAGAGAGGTATCAAGGTATGCTGCTACTTCAGGACATGAACTGACGTAGTACTCTCAGCGTGGAGAACACGACATCGAGAACGAAATGGTGTTTCAAAGTAACCCGGGATTTGTATTCCACGACTCGCGCGGTTTCGAGGCAGGCGGCGAATCAGAATACAACATGGTCAAGGCATTTATCACTCGCCGTTCCAAAGAAACCAAAATAAAAAATCAGCTCCATGTCATCTGGTAATTGCAGCTCATCATTCGCGACATGCGCTAACTCAAGGTTTCAACATAGGTACTGTATCCCAATGGACGAGGCCAGCAGGTCGTTCACCGCAGGTGAAAATAAATTTTTCTCTGAGTGCGATACAGGAAGCAGTAAGCTTTTGCATCCGAGCGTCGTTGATGTTTGACTGATGCGCAGCATCACAATCCTCAGTTCCAGTTATCATATTGTTCACAAAGTTTGATGCCCTCTACGACGTCGCATTCAAACAGCTGAAAAAGAATGGAACACCTCGACAAGACGCTACAACACAGGCCCCAAAACACGCCGAAGAGTCATTTGCTAATGGGCCACAACTGAGGTTTCTCAACGACCTCCCACGGCCTCCTAAATGTCATGTATGCCTTCCTGGTAAGTCGGTTGATGGTCGAGCTGTGATACAAGATGACCGTTGATCCATTAGACATGAACAAGGATGGTGCAGATTGTAGCCCACTGATCAAACGAACGGCTGAAACTCTGGATAATGAAGTGCTGGAGCAATTGTTCGTGTCAACACAGCAGACCAATTTGGAGCTCTGCGTGGAATATGCAATTAAGAGGTAACTACCCATGTTCTTATTTACCTGCAGCAAGCATGAGGGACTAATATTGTTCAGAACACTCTCAGGCAATATTGACGATGCAAAGATAATGACATCTAAACTTCACCAGGACATAATAGGCACATTAGGCGCCTGGTTTCCACATATTATTGTAAGCTGATCAGAAAGTTCAAAGGTTGCTATCATTTACATCGAGCATTTACTTGCAGGTGGTAGGTCTTTGAATCTTGTTTCGAGCTCAAGCCATGCTGATCCAAGTCGTTTCCCGCCGTTGGCAGTGGGTGAGTGTGTCGATCCTGCTTCGACCTCGAGCCATGCTGATCCAAATCGTTTCCCGCCGTTCACAGAAAGTAAGTGTGTCGATCCTGCTTCGACCTCGAGCCATGCTGATTCAAGTCATTTCCCGCCGTTCGCAGAAAGTGAGTGTGTCGATCCTGCTTCGAGCTCGAGCCATGCTGACCCAAGTCGTTTCCCGCCGTTCGCAGCACGTGAGTGTGTCGATCCTGCTTCGACCTCGAGCCATGCTGATCCAAGTCGTTTCCCGCCGTTCGCAGGAAGTGAGTGTATCGATCCTGCCTCGACCTCGAGCCATGCTGATGCAAGTCGTTTCCCACCGTTCGCAGGTTGTGAGTGTGTCGATCTTGCTTCGACCTCGAGCCATACTGATCCAAGTCGTTTCCCGCCGTTCGCAGTTTGTGAGTCTGTGGATCCTGCTTCGACCTCGGGCCATGCTGATCCAATTCGGTTCACGCCGTTCGCAGGAAGTGAGTGTGTCGATCCTGCTTCGACCTCGAGCCATGCTGATCCAAGTCGTTTCCCGTCGTTCGCAGCTTGTGAGTGTGTCCATGCTGCTTCGACCTTGAGCCATGCTGATCCAAGTCGCTTCCCGCCGTGCGCAGAAAGTGAGTGTGTCCATGCTGCTTCGAGCTCGAGCCATGCTGATCCAAGCCGTTTCCCACCTTTCGCAGTCTGTGAGCGTGTCGATCCTGCTTCGAATTCGAGCCATGCTGATTCAAGTCGCTTCCCGACGTTCGCAGCGTGTGAGTGTGTTGATCCTGCTTCGACCTCGAGCCAGGCTGATCCAAGTCGTTTCCCGCCGTTCGCAGGAAGTGAGTGTGTCGATCCTGCTTCGACCTCGAGCCATGCTGATCCAAGTCGTTTCCCGCCGTTCGCAGGATGTGAGTGTGTCGATCCTGCTTTGACCTCGAGCCATACTGATCCAGGCCATTTCCCGCCGTTCACAGCGTGTGAGTGTGTCGATCCTGCTTCGACCTCGAGCCATGCTGATCCAGGCCATTTCCCGCTGTTCGCAGTCTGTGAGTGTGTCGATCCTGCTTCGACCTCGAGCCATGCTCACCCAAGTCGTTTTCTGCCGTTCGCAGGTTGTGAGTGTGTCGATCCTACTTCGAGCTCGAGCCATGCTGATCCAATTCGGTTCACGCCGTTGGCAGCGTGTGAGTGTGTCGATCCTGCTTCGAGCTCGAACTATGCTGATCCAAGTCGCTTCCCGCCGTTCGCAGAAAGTGAGTGTGTCTATACTGCTTCGACCTCGAGCCATGCTGATCCAAGCCGTTTCCCGCCGTTCGCAGGTTGTGAGTGTGTCGATCCTGCTTCGACCTCGAGCCATGCTGATCCAAATCGTTTTCCGCCGTTCGCAGCATGTGAGTGTGTCGATCCTGCTTCGACCTCGAGCCATGCTCACCCAAGTCGTTTCTTGCCGTTCGCAGGTTGTGAGTGTGTCGATCCTGCTTCGACCTCTAGTCATGCTGATCCAATTCGTTTTCCGCCGTTCGCAGCAAGTGAGTGTGTTGATCCTGCTTCGACCTTGAGCCATGCTGATCCAAGTCGTTTTCCGCCGTTTGCAGCGTGTGAGTGTATCGATCCTGCTTCGACCTCGAGCCATGCTGATTCAAGTCGTTTCCCGCCGTTCGCAGCGTGTGAGTGTGTCGATCCTGCCTCGAGCTCGAGTCATGCTGATCCAGGCCATTTCCCGCCGTTCGCAGGTTGTGAGTGTGTCAATCCTCCTTTGAGCTCGAGCCATACTGATCCAAGTCGTTTTCCGCTGTTTGCAGCCTGTGAGTGTGTCGATCCTGCTTCGACCTCGAGCCATGCTGATCCAAGTCGTTTCTTGCCGTTCGCAGCACGTGAGTGTGTCGATCCTGCTTCGACCTCGAGCCATGCTGATCCACGTCGTTTTCCGCCGTTCGCAGCACGTGAGTGTGTCGATCCTGCTTCGACCTCGAGCTATGCTGATCCAAGTCGTTTCGCGCCGTTCGCAGTGTGTGAGTGTGTCGATCCTCCTTTGAGCTCGAGCTATGCTGATCCAAGTCGCTTCCCGCCGTTTGCAGGTTGTGAGTGTGTCCATGCTGCTTCGACCTCGAGCCATGCTGATCCAAGTCGTTTTCCGCCGTTCGCAGCACGTGAGTGTATCGATCCTGCTTCGACCTCGAGCCATGCTGATTCAAGTCGTTTCCCGCCGTTCGCAGCGTGTGAGTGTGTCGATCCTGCCTCGAGCTCGAGTCATGCTGATCCAGGCCATTTCCCGCCGTTCGCAGGAAGTGAGTGTGTCGATCCTGCTTCGACCTCGAGCCATGCTGATCCAAGTCGCTTCCCGCCGTTCGCAGGTTGTGAGTGTGTCGATCCTGCTTCGACCTCGAGCCATGCTGATCCAAGTCGTTTCCCGTCGTTCGCAGCTTGTGAGTGTGTCCATGCTGCTTCGACCTCGAGCCATGCTGATTCAAGTCATTTCCCGCCGTTCGCAGAAAGTGAGTGTGTCGATCCTCCTTTGAGCTCGAGCCATGCTGACCCAAGTCGTTTCCCGCCGTTCGCAGCACGTGAGTGTGTCGATCCTGCTTCGACCTCGAGCCATGCTGATCCAAGTCGTTTCCCGCCGTTCGCAGGAAGTGAGTGTATCGATCCTGCTTCGACCTCGAGCCATGCTGATCCATGCCGTTTCCCCCCGTTCGCAGGTTGTGAGTGTGTCGATCCTGCTTCGACCTCGAGCCATGCTGATCCAAGTCGTTTCTTGCCGTTCGCAGTATGTGAGTGTGTCGATCCTCCTTTGAGCTCGAGCTATGCTGATCCAAGTCGCTTCCCGCCGTTTGCAGGTTGTGAGTGTGTCCATGCTGCTTCGACCTCGAGCCATGCTGATCCAAGTCGTTTCTTGCCGTTCGCAGGTTGTGAGTGTGTCGATCCTGCTTTGACCTCGAGCCATGCTGATTCAAGTCGTTTCCTGACGTTCGCAGGATGTGAGTGTGTCGATCCTCCTTCGAGCTCGAGCCATGCTGATCCAAGTCGTTTCCCGCCGTTCGCAGGGTGTGAGTGTGTCGATCCTGCTTCGAGCTCGAACCATGCTGATCCAAGTCGTTTCCCGCCGTTCGCATCAATAGAGAGTGAGCCTGGAGCCTTGCTTGTGAATGACATAGCTGATACATCAATAGGACGAGCTTCATGACGATCACTGTGTTAAGATACACTCCAGCTTGCTCTCTGTGGTATGTCCAATTAGTCACAGATTGTACACTCATTTCTCATGCTGCGAATGTGCCAGGCCTCTGGTTCATCACCCTTGGAGAACATTGTTCAGCTTGGTTCTGGTGAATTTTGAGACTACGTTGCGATGAATCTGCTTATTATTGATCGTTTAGCTGCTGTCATTATCTTCGAACGCTCCTTCTACGTTTTTGACAGACGGCGCTATCTTCAAGCCAAGGAAACTTGTGACCCGTCTTTCTATGTCGTTCTGGAGCAGTACGTCGCGTCTCCGCATGCAGCTGCTGTAAAGGAAGCTGTGAGCGCTGCCGTCCAGGCGTATCAAGTAACTGTGGCCACTGCTCCCCGCGCTTATGAAGACGCCATGGCTGCTGCTTCCCGCACATATGAAGACGCCGTAGCTACCGCTTCCCGCGCATATGAAGACGCTGTGGCTACTGCTTCCCGCGCATATGAAGAAGCTCTGAGGACTCCTGTCCATACATATCAAGAAAATCTGCCTGCTTGGATGGCAAAGTTACCATTTGAACCCTTGAAGAGGAAGGCAAAAGCAACTTTCGAACGCTATAAGGAGAAGGAGAAAGAAGCTTTCGAACGCTCTAAGAAGGAGGAGAGAGAAGCCTTTGAGCGCTCTAAGAAGGAGGAGAAAGAATTTTCGTGCTATCGGGCGAAGGAGGAGAAAGAATCTTCGTGCTATCGGGCGAAGGAGGAGAAAGAATCCGTTGAACTCTCCAAGGAGAAGGAGAAAGAATCTTCAGGCTCTCGGGCGAAAGAGGAGTTAATAGAGGCTCTTGTTCAGGTCACTTTAAATCATCGCCTGCGTATGTTTCACTGTCATATTTTGGCAACCATCTCACTGACATACTTGTCTTCAGCGAGATCTTAATGTTGGGTGATGCAACCTAACGTTTCGGTTCGGAGTGGAACTGAGGTGTCTTGTCTGTGAATGCAGGTTGCTCGAAAGGTTTCTCAAGGTAGTTTCAGGAGTTTGAACTGTACAAAATGGTTGTATGATCACACAATATGGCTTTCCCTGGTATGGTGAGTATGGTGTATACTTTTTAACACGTGTGAGCATGATACCGCAGCCTATTTCCATCAGTGAACGCATGAGTCCTTGCAAACAGGGTTCGTCACGTGACCTTAGACCTAGTAGAGTGACATTTAACAAAATTGCATCATGATATGATACTAGTAAGTCAAAACACAAGCAAAATATGTTCCATGTGCAGATATAGAGGGAATGCACGAACTGGTGGTAACTAATAGTTTGTACTCGGTTATAGCAGACCGCCTTGGCCTCTCCAGCTGCGGTATGAGCAGGAGCCTGGCAGGCTCAGGAATCCGGATTGCTAAATTAGGCGGTAAGGACGAACAGTCCGGACGGTCGTTTCCAATTTTACTGTCTCTGATTGCTCACGAGTCACAATGATGAACGACTGTGCGCTGGAGCAGCCCGAGCCTCTATTATATGGCACCCCCTCGATAACAATCAGAAAGAATATCTCTAGGAATGGTGGACAACCATTCGAAGACTCTGATGTTCTCGTGCTTTCCTCCCGGTCCACAACTGACACGCACTCCAAAGATTCCACGCAGCTGTACCTCGACTTACGTCTTTCAAAGCCTTTACTACCAGAGAGCACCATTAAATGGGGCTTTGCTGGACTCCGTGTTACACTCTTCTACTCTTCTGCGTTTCCGATGGAATCATTATATTGATTCCCAGGGACGAGATGGCTCTCCTGATGAAGGCACCATGACTTCGTGTGATGGAGAAGAAGTAGAAACTGGAATTGGGGTAAACCCCGAGACGGGAGAACAGGAGCAGTATGAAGAACGCTGGATCTGAGCTCATGACCATCACCCTGTATAGTTGATCAGTTTCATAATTTCTGCGCGATAGTGACCAACCGGTTCCACCAGGCACATCGTTCGCATTCCTCACTTCCTCACGCGATCAAAAAGTGAATCGACCGGATTTATCGCTATCCTGGGAGATCACGCCCTTGCAATGCGTCAGAACCACTCTCCGAATGACACCGAATTTCAAGCGGTGCGCATGCGCATCTCGACTTCATCGTCGTCCGAAGTTCTGTTCAAGCAGAACGCAGACGCTCTCCTCCCATTGTTAGAATCTGCGCTCTCAGGGGTTGATAATTGGAAAGGATCCCCTTGGCAGCGTGGCCAGGAAATTACTTTACAGGAAAGCCGCTGGACGGTGTGGGATGCTGGTATGACGGGGGAAACTGACTGCTTAATTTAAATTGCAGGTGAACGTATTCCATGATGGCATGATGCCCAGCTGCGATGCATTTATAACCTGTGTCCACCGCGCTGCGTGGCCCTTAATCTTCAATCGGCGAATGTGAGGAGCAGGGAACGTCAGATGCACGACATACTGTTCATAATGACACTTCTTGATTCGGTATGACCCTAGCTAACACGCAGGGAGTACGACTCATCTACCCTTGAAGCATCGACATTTCACCCTATATTTGGTTAGCTGGTGTGTAAATGCATCAGGAATGACTACGCTTCCGTGCCGTCATGAGGTGGCACTGTCACGTCCGACTGTCTGGTCCCATACACTCCAGGCACAAACACCCGGTCTATTGATTCCACCTGTTGCAGTTTCCAGTGGTGCATTATTCTAGTCTGTACAGCTGTAGACTAGAGTGTTACTAAGTCCATTCGCCCGTGTGTGATCCACCCGAGTTAACGAAAATGGGTTCTAATTCCAAACATACTAGCGTGAGGGGGAGCCTATACGACCTGTAGTGATGGAGATGTTGTGAGAAACGTATATGTTACAGGCAGACTCCCGATCGAGCGACAAAGTGAGTCAGATTCGCGTGCACGTTAGACACTGCCTGTGGACTGCATTAGTGATAATGACAGCAAAATTATTTTAATGAACTGAGTATGACCTAGACCAGGGGATGTCAAGGGAGAGTATTAATTACTCGATCGGTGAGTGACGCTTGAAGCTTGAAGCGGCAGCGCGGAGGTGATCGTGATAGCGTTTAAGTCTACATAATAGTAACCAGTACCAAGTAAACTTGAATTAAGGTTTTTTTCAATATCTGAAAGTGATCGAGTTATGACGTACACAAGGTAAAGCGGTCGCGTCGAAACGTCGCGTGAGTCGCAGCTCAGCTAAACAGTATGAAGCTACACATGTAGTACAGTGTAGAGCTACTATTGCGTACGCCGTGTCTGCTGCGTCTATCGAAGACTGTCGCCGAGTGCAGTTGGTCCAACAACAGGAAGAGTGAGCTGACGACTTTGCTCAAGTTGTATTATGTAAGTTTGCCTCCGCCGGGATTAGAAATCTTTCGAGCTGCAGTGACCAAGCTGAATCATTGCTAACGTTGACCGGGGAATGAGTAATTCAACGTTTGCCCGGGTAACCACGCTGTCGCTCGAGACCATGCACGATCAGTAGCACTGGTGGCACTGCCGCAGTCTGAAACCGTCACAGCGACAAGAAGCCTGACAGCAGTCAACACAGCTTGACAAAACCTTTTAAACTCGACATACTTGTTAATTCGACGCCAGCACACCATCTTCAATCTCAATCAACGCTCTCCTAACTCATTCGACCCTCTCACACGGAACACCATGACTCTAGTTCTACCAGACGGGTAAGCCCAAGCATGTACATTCGAATCTGCCATGCGCTGATGGTTTGCTCAGTTACCAATACGTGGCTGCCTCGTTGCTGTCAGCTGCCTGGGTCATCGTATGGCAAATCGTACGTATCGGCTCTGCCAGGAAGGCAGCGGGCATTCCTTATCCTCAACGTCAGCCTTCCCTTAACCTTCTCTCGCTTTCTTACTCAACTTGGTCTAGTGTATGCGGAGAACGCTCAACTAAAAGAAAATCCAGCTGCTCTTCGGTACAACTGTGTCCAGCGTATGTCCTTCACATTCGACGCCAGCCCAGTACATTATATTGACTTGATCCTCCGGATTTAGGTTGCCATCAGAACACTCTCGAGAATATCCCGTTGATTCTTATTTCGTGAGTCGATCTGCACTCTGACTTAAGGACCCACTCAGTGGACACGTATCTGCAGCACTCTCATAACTGGACTGAAGTATCCTCACTTCGCTGCCACTACGAGTTTCTTCTGGGTGCTCGCTCGCATCGCTTACACCATTGGGTACTCCACGGGTGTGCCAGAAAAGGCAAGTTACTCTACTCAGACAAACGAAGATTTCATGGTTGTTGACATTGGATTATAATAGCGCGGGGCAGGTAATGCTGGTGGTTTAATTGCTTTATTAGGCTTATTAGTAACTGCTACTGTTACCATCGTGCAAGTCTGTTTCTTCTAGGGGTCGTGGTGCCCTTTCGAATTGCAAGATTCCAGTACTGCAAATCTATAACATGTCATCGTTACGTCTTGTGAATATAATCGGCTCAGCTATTTGAACCTTTCTGCTAAGGAAGTTGTCGAAACACGCCTTGAATCATAATCTCGACGATGAGCTATCTCCCTTACTGGAATGTGCTCCTTGTGACAGTAAGTTGTGATCTCATGGATGTGGGCATATATCAGAACAGTACATCAGGGTATTCGAATTAGAGGCGTAACTATTAGCATTCATGCGACGCGCACTAAAAGAGAGCGGATATGCCTAAGCTTACAAGAACTCAACCAAATGCCCACATATCTGATGAGAACGTCGCATAACGAAGGTAGAAAAAAATTGGAGGGGAGCACTGCCCCACCACCTTCTACCCCAGCAATGCCCACAGCAGTGACCCATGGTGTCGCAGTAACAATAAACCAACAAATGACCCACACATATCCCATCTTACGCGTCCACTTCGTCTCTGTCACTCCCGCACGCCGAGCAGCAGCTATGATCATATCCTCAAACGTGATGGCGAATGCCTGATATAGGAAGAAAGGGCTCGAAATGCCAAGGCGAGAGGAGTTGAGCACTGCGTCGCCTCCTATATGAGTAATGCCAGAGACGAAAAAGGCAGTGTACAATTGAGTGTAGGACGATCCGTTTGTTCCGGGTTTGAAGCCAAGAAGTGATGCCATCTTCTGGCCAAAGGGAACCAGGAACTGATCCGATTGACGGTAAGTATACTTGATCTGTAATTTCCAGTGAATCAATACTCACGCGTCGAAAACATTGATGCCAAGTTCAACTGGCCAACGAACAATATATTGAGCACAGAGCATGTGCCAGACGAATGACTTACCCCCGGAATCGTCTGATAGTATATGCGTCCTCCCATTTCCCAAAGAAATTGGGCCAAGAGCTTGGGTTAGACGACGTGCAGCTTACAGCAAGAGCCGCCATCAATGAATGGATGATAACACCCAAGCAATAATAGAACACTAAATATCCACCACAGGCCAGAATGCGACGGGTGAAATTTTGAGATGCGAACGCCGCAGCGGACTTATATGCTGGATTGTGCCTTATGTAGAATTGTGCAAAGTCGAACCACAAGAAGTGCCTAGCTGCACTCATTAGACGCGAAAGGACAAATTCCTGTCTTGATTTTGCGGAGTGCCCAAGCAGGTTTTTCACCTGCAGATGAGAATGATCAGGGCTTGCGAACGACTGGTACTCTAGGGTAAACTTACTTGATGATTCCAGCCCACTCCTCTGGGTGAACCACACAATTGCGCAGCCCAGATGAACCTTTTGGACCAAGGGAGTTCGTGCGCCGACCGTGTTTGCTTCTGATGACGGAAGGTGTGAAGGGGTCGGACCAGCAGTGTCATGTGTATGGCATCCATAGCAATGCCAGCAATTGCCATGCCGATGAAGTAATCAATAAAAAGAATGTTAGTCTTAGCATGCTGGATGCAAGTCCAGCAGACGAATATAAGCGTGATGCAAGTCATGATATTCCACGGAACCTGCAAGTCCAAAGTTATGCCGAGCTGTAGGACCAAGGCGGGGACCTGTACGCAGATGAGGGGTACAAGTGGACTCATGGGGGATGTAGACTTACCTCCCCTCCCTCAGACTCTTGAGTTCTCATAGGGTCGAAGCTTCAGAGTGCAAGGGCAATCCACCAGCTGGATATGGCATTTGTATCGTACCTTCCCTTTGCACTTCTTGCCCGCTAAACGATATCGAGTGCACTGCCTATGTCATCGGTTCATCGATGCAAACTAAGCCACGATGTGTTGTGATTCTGCTCGTCCTCGAGCAAGACAGACGGAGTAGGTTGAACGGTGCCTAGAGTCGTAATATACCCGTCAACTTCCTCTCAGGCGCGACATATGTTCGATGAAATGTTCTGTTTTCCGATAAAATGACCGTTCGCATCGCTAACAGTGCTGATGATTCCCACCTTATGCAAGGAACACAGAGTTCTCTCCCACCGATGTCATCGACGATGCCTAAGAACGAAGTAGATTAGCAATAAGACAACGTGAACCCAGAATTGACCCTCACAAAACGCTAGATTCCCAGTTTCAGACGAGTCCTCTAAGAACTGTCTCCTCTTGGCCGCGCAAAGTCATAGCAAGTGTACGTGGAAGGGCAATTTCTGGTTGAGGGTTCAAATTGTCCGGCGTAACACGTACTTTTCAGTTCTCACAACAAGAACCAAGGGCTTGGAAGAAGCTCACCTTAGACCTAACAGCGGCGACCTGACATCGAAGCCAAACAAGGAGCGTATCTCACCTTCCCCAGTTTTTCCTGTGCCTGTGCCATTTGCCTAATGTATGTAAGTAGCCTGTGAGGATGAGACTATCCTGAACTCGGCAAGAGGAATTCGGTCGGACGCAAAGCTGCGAAAATGCTACAAAGTGCCTGATTTGACGTTGAGTTTAACCCACCACTTGCGGCGCTGCTAGCGAATCGCACCGTATGACTTAATTAGTAGCACAACAGACACCGGCCCTGCTACCCACGGTCACGCCATGAATTCCCCCTTGCACAAGACCCTTTACCGTACTAGGTTTGGCTGGCCATAACTTCAATGGTGGAGTACGGGAACATCGTTCCGCAGCCGAGTGCAACTGGTGAATGTAGGAATATCCGAAAAAAGGGACGTCTATATACGACACATTGGAGAAAAAACTAACGGGTATATATATGTAGGTACACTCGTAACCAGTCGCCTCCAAAGCGGTCGCACATCTGCCGCGCAAAGCTGATGACCTCAGAGACCATTCTCCTCCAGCCTTCGCACAAGCACGGATCACTGCATCGTATACCCTTCGGTCAGCACAATTCCCGCGTCGAGCATCTCAGTCCACAGGTCTAGGGCACGCTTGGGTTCGGGAGATAAGAAAGTCGAAGCACAAGTGCGGATCACCAATGCGTAAAGATGAGCATCTGGGGTTGGGTGCGCAACGTAGCGCATGTGCGCGAAAAGGTCCCAAGCTTGTGAATTCGCAGCCAGTCCTCCTAATAGCATGTCCGGCGTTGAAGATATCGAAGGAGGTGAAGGAGAGGGACAGACAGAGAATAGGGAGATGATGACCTTCAGAGATTCTATTCACTTTCAGCGCTGTCCAGTCTCCATCGCGCACCTATAATGTCTGTAAGGTGCTTGACTCCATCTTTTTGAAGTTTAAGAGACGTACATACCCGAACGTGAATCCGTTCTCTCACTTCGACTATGGCTTGTATCTATATCTTCCTCAGAGCGCTTCGCGACCTCTACAAGTTGTTGAGCAAGTGATATTTCCAGCAAGTCTTCATACATCGACTCGTCCGTGTAACGAGGGAAAAACGCTGCCTCTGACTCCGGGGTGGCTTCCAACTGAACTAAAATAGGCTGACATCAGAAAGTGTATAGTTAGATTCAAAAATGAAGGCCCACCGACTGAGAGTGCATGACATCCGATGGCGCTTACATGACAAGGACTCTCCTGTCAAGCTCGGACATCGGGGATGTAAGACTTTTAAGCAACTTGAATACAAAGGAAGAGGCCAATTTTTCAGAGTCTCCGATTGTCAAAATGCTTGGTGTTCTGCTGCGTTCGCGCCGCCTGAGTTGCATGAGCTTGGACAGCTGATACAGAACGACAAACCCACCTAGAAAACACGTTTTTGTCTCGGCGGGCTCAAAAGACGGCGCAGGAGACGGTGCAAGGGCTATCGCCTGGTGTACACTGTAAGTTGCGTGAATGACATCCCCATGTTACTGATCGGACATGAGCAAAGCTAAAATCGAGCAGACCGAGGAGAAGGATGGTCTTTGGCATAGAATAGGTCGCGAAAATACAACAAAGTATTGGACGAATATCAAGTACACGCTCGATATTTCGATGATCGCAAGGTGACAATAGTTATTAGTGACCGTGTACATCCTAATAATAGAACATGTATCATATATCATAGGCTACAGTGTCGTGATCGGTCATAAATCCAGTTACATACTAGTACAAGCGAGCACCGTCTGCAATCGCGTCAGCACTCAGACACCGCCCACGCGCAAAACCATCCAGGAAAGAAACAACCAAGTGCTACGACTTCTCGATTTACCATGGTTCGTCCGACGACAAATCCACAGGAGGAACATCTGCCCGAAGTTTAGATATTTGTGCCGCATCGATCTTGTACCTTTGCATCACATCAATGATCTTATCCAAGATTTCACAATCCGCACGTTCCAGGATGTTCAATTGCTCATCATAATCTTGAATCCAAGCAGGAACTTCTTTGCTCGTTGGGGAGGCGAGGTAGGAAGTAACCGCGAGCTTGATGGCTCTACGAGTGAGTTCCTGGCCTTCTGACACGATAAAAAGTGTCTGCAACACAAGCGTAAGGTGAATGATGTAGGCCATGAAGCGCCGAAGCACCGGGTGGCTGACAAAGAAATGTTAATATCCTTTGGTACATGAAGAAATAGTGTTGCGTACGATATTTGGTATATTTCATAAACCCATGTGGCGAGTACGGCACCTACTGCTATCGGTACTACGATGGGAGCCGCAGGTCCCGCCAGGGCGGACACGATGCCCGCAATAGCGGCCACCACAGATATAGCGCTCACCATGGATATTGGAGTCCTGTAAACATTCAAAGAGATCAGATTTCGTCTGTCACGTAAAAGACCAGCCTACTTGATGTTGGTGGAATAACCTGTCGGTCCAACTTCCATCTTATCGACTATCTTGAGCATCATATCCCTGAAGTCTTGACTGTCCAAGTGCTATGTGCAAATCGCGTTAGGGTGGATGCGACAACGGCAAATAATATGCCCATTACATGATAAGGGTCATGGAAGTTCCACACATTGACGATGTCAGTATGAAGCACATGTAGACATTCCCACATCCTGCGCTTCTTGAACGTTGGGCATGACTTGAGCGCTTTCCAGTATTCTGCAAGACATTAAGATTTACAATGTGTTCAGTAATCATGAACGCGAAACTGGGACAAACTTTTCTTGCCAACTCTGATGCTGCGTAAATCACGAGACAAGAATGAAGCAAGCAAGACTCACTCGATTGATGCCTTTATTTTGAGTCCAGGATCCACTCGCTGAGCGATAGAGCTCATCACTGCGGCCTCAGACGCGGAGTGCTGAGCGACGGAGGCTGTCGCTGAGGCCTCCGACGCAGAGTGCTGACCGACACACTGTTCAGTTATTTGGATCAGGTGGGCGAGCGTCTCTTCATAGTCTTCTTCGGCTGTAATAATATGCGTCAGAGGCACGCATAAACTTGTCGAAGTATTGATACACACTAGAGATCATAGCGTGGGGAATATCAGGCCCTGCAAATCGCTCTAGAGGTCCTATGCAGGTATCCTGCAGCTCGGCTTCTGCTTTCGTCTTAACAAATTCCTTGCGGTCTTTGTCGCTCAAAAGGCTTCTACCTAGAGTTCGCTCTATGCGATCGACGAGCAGATCGTATTTGGTAAGCACGATGATAACGGGAACTGTGACAAAGCATGAGCTCCAACGCAGCAGAGAGATAGTTATTGATTCACTTACCGTTTCCTAACTCTCCACTACTTTTCGATTTCAGGAAATCCTCAGTTCCCGTCTCTAGAAAACGTCCGCCTGCACGAGGTATCTCAAAGCAAAGCCTTCCGTGTATTTGGTCAGTCCACCATAACGGAATGGTCGAGATGAATCCCTACCAAACGGCATGCAACTGATGTTCCGGAGACATCGTCCTCCGATGGACAATGAAATCTCGGGCAATTTTGAAATTGCCTTCGTCCCCTGCTTCAAAACCTTTGCTATCGTGAAGAACAAACCTTTCGTTCCGAGTTGAGATGAGTTCCTTGTCGATGTTGGCCTCGCCTGGCTCATCGTCTGCAATGATCTATTGACAATATGAGTAACTGTGCTCGTTGAAGGGTCGTGTTCAGTCCACCTTTTTTTCTACTCCAAATGCCTGGCTGATCAGAGACGACTTGCCGACGCCAGACTGGTAAAGCACGTCGTCAAGGCTGGCCTGAGATCAGAGAAAGCCAGATACCTTTCCTATCACTAGGATTCGGAACCTTGGGAGCATTAACCTCAAGAACGGCACTTTATGATCATCATGGCTCACCGAGGACAGCGCGTAAACATTTCCAAAGTAGTAGACGGAAGGCTTTGATCGGGGGAGCCAGACTGCTCAGCCTGCTATGTAATCTACGATTTAGACGGGCTCGATGCCGGACGTGAATCCTTACTTCGGTTGTTGCATCACTGGAAAGTTTGACAACGATCGTGATGTTGTTATAAACCTTGCTGTATTCTGTGCATGTGAGGTTGAATCCGTGAGCGATCAAGGCGAGAATGCAATGATTCTTGTTTCACCTCGTTGACTTGGATTGTACGCACGGAACATGTCATCTGGGTCGAAGGCAATGTCTTCGTGCTTGGTTCTGAAATGTTTCTTGTAATGCATACGCAAGGCAAACGAATATCCGCGAGAAAGCACACTAAGGCAAAAACACACAGAAGTAACTCAGGTGAGAACATGTATTGGGGTCGAGTACTTACATGGGTGGAGAATACGCGTGTCGCAAACTCTTTGCTGCTCTGTGTTCAATTGGCGAATATGATTCGCCAATCCGTACTTCAGCAGATGCTATGTTCGTTTTCGACTTGCTGAAATCGATGGTGATACCTATTGGACACATTCAGCGGTGATAGTATTTGGCGACAAGAATTGAGTACCGTGGATGTAGAGAGCCATTGGGGGGTGAGGAGCATTAGTAGCCATGCTGGTTTGATCTAGAGAAGAGTTCTGCTCTGAGCTACTAGTACTTTTGACGCGGACCTATAGTGGGTCACAAGAACGTTCTGGTACTATAGCTTGCGATAAGAGCTGGGGTTAATTATTATATAGTTAATCGGACCCACCACCGCGCTATTAAACAATGTGCAACGTACGTAATGATAAGACCTTGTGCCCAGTAGTACTAGTAGGAACAACGGCAACAAAAACTGAACAGGACAATGTGCTGCTACTAGATCATGACATCGTTGCAGTTGGACGAGCTTCAATAGCTGTGATGGTAAGGTACCTAACCTTATACACGAGCAGAAAATACCTTACCGAGCGGTGCTGGAGGTCTTGACCTCTGCTGTAATAGTAACACAAACTTTGGGGAGGGCACGTGTCATAATATATAGTACGACTCCGATGCCTGTCGTGTGTTTCTTAGCCTAGCTAGTGTACGTACGTACGAGATAGCTATCTTACGAATAGATACTTACTTAGTCTGAAGTTTCAAGTGGTGTAGTTGATTTGACAATAGACTCATACGGAACTTACGGGTGTGCATCTGCCTCATGGTACACCGTGACAGCTATATCTACATTGAATATCGCCCATTGCCCACTGAACATTCTAGATAGGCTCGGGTTGGGCATTTACCGGGTTCACACATCGCAATAATTATAAGGCTACACCAACACTAGTACTTCTCCGTCACATTTACTAGTACCTTCCCCCATGGATCCTTCAAAGATAAGAGAGAAAATCGGTAGCTTTCGAATCCTCGTCATAGGAAGAGCGAACGCAGGGAAAACTACCATCCTCCAGAGAGTCTGCAACACAAGCGACAACCCTGAAATATACAACAGCTCCGGGAAAAAGGTGGGCATCACATTGCTAGTAAGAGGATGGTACTGATCCATGACATCAGATCGATCCTGCAGTTCTACAGGCATCTAGAGAGGTATCAAGGTGTGCTCTTACTTCAGGACATGGACTGACGTACTCTCAGCGTGGAGAGCACGACATCAATAACCAAATGATGTTTAAAAGTAACCCGGGATTTGTCTTCCATGACTCACGCGGTTTCGAGGCAGGCGGGGAATCAGAATTCAACACGGTCAAGGCATTTATCACTCACCGCTCCAAGGAAACCCGAATAAAAAACCAGCTCCATGTCATCTGGTAATTGCAGCTCATCATGCATCATTCACGACATGCACTAACTCAAGGTTTCAACATAGGTACTGTATCCCAATGGACGAGGCATGCAGGTCGTTCACCGCAGCTGAACGTAAATTTTTCTCTCAGTGCGACACGGGAAGCAGTAAGCTTTCGCATCCAAGCGTCGCTGATGTTCGACTGATGCGCAGAATCACAATCCTCAGTTCCAGTGATCATATTGTTCACAAAGTTTGATGCACTCTACGACATCGCATTCAAACAGCTGAAAAAAAGTAAAATACCGCCAGAAGACGCTGCAACACGGGCCCCAAAACACGCCGAAGAGTCATTTGCTAATGGGCCCCAACTGAAGCGTCTCAAAGACCTCCCACCGCCTCCCAAATGTCACGTATGCCTTCCTGGTAAGTCGGTTGATGGTCGAGTTGCGATACAAGATGACCGTTGATCCATTAGACATGAACAAGGATGGTGCAGATTGTAGTCCACTGATCGAACGGACGGCTGAAACTCTGGATAATGAAGTACTGGAGCAATTGTTCGTCTCAACCCAGCAGACCAATCTGGAGCTCTGCATGAAATATGCAATTCAGAGGTAACTGCCCATGTTCTGGTTTGCTTGGTGCAAGCATTAGGGACTAATATTGTTCAGAACACTCCAAAGATATGCAAAGACAACAACATCTCAGGGTCACCAGGTAATGATAGGGATATTGGGCAAATGGTTTCCACATATTTCGGTAAGCCAATCAGGAACTTCAAAGTTTGCTATCATTTACATTGAGCATCTACTTGCAGATAGTACGTCTTTTGGTCCTGCTTCAAGCTCAAGCCATGCTGATCCAAGTCGTTTCCCGCCGTTCGCAGCCTGTGAGTCTGTCGATCCTGCTTCGACCTCGAGCCATGCTGATCCAAGTCGTTTCCCGCCGTTCGCAGTCTGTGAGTCTGTCGATCCTGCTTCGACCTCGAGCCATGCTGATCCAAGTCGTTTCCCGCCGTTCGCAGGAAGTGAGCCTGTCGATCCTGCTTCGACCTCGAGCCATGCTGATCCAAGTCGTTTCCCGCCGTTCGCAGGAAGTGAGCCTGTCGATCCTGCTTCGACCTCGACCCATGCTGATCCAAGTCGTTTCCCGCCGTTCGCAGCTTGTGAGTCTGTCGATCCTGCTTCGACCTCGAGCCATGCTGATCCAAGTCGTTTCCCGCCGTTCGCAGGATGTGAGTCTGTCGATCCTGCTTCGACCTCGAGCCATGCTGATCCAAGTCGTTTCCCGCCGTTCGCAGGAAGTGAGCCTGTCGATCCTGCTTCGACCTCGAGCCATGCTGATCCAAGTCGTTTCCCGCCGTTCGCAGCTTGTGAGTCTGTCGATCCTGCTTCGACCTCGAGCCATGCTGATCCAAGTCGTTTCCCGCCGTTCGCAGGGTGTGAGTCTGTCGATCCTGCTTCGACCTCGAGCCATGCTGATCCAAGTCGTTTCCCGCCGTTCGCAGTATGTGAGTCTGTCGATCCTGCTTCGACCTCGAGCCATGCTGATCCAAGTCGTTTCCCGCCGTTCGCAGGGTGTGAGTCTGTCGATCCTGCTTCGACCTCGACCCATGCTGATCCAAGTCGTTTCCCGCCGTTCGCAGCTTGTGAGTCTGTCGATCCTGCTTCGACCTCGAGCCATGCTGATCCAAGTCGTTTCCCGCCGTTCGCAGGGTGTGAGTCTGTCGATCCTGCTTCGACCTCGAGCCATGCTGATCCAAGTCGTTTCCCGCCGTTCGCAGCTTGTGAGTCTGTCGATCCTGCTTCGACCTCGAGCCATGCTGATCCAAGTCGTTTCCCGCCGTTCGCAGGATGTGAGTCTGTCGATCCTGCTTCGACCTCGAGCCATGCTGATCCAAGTCGTTTCCCGCCGTTCGCAGGATGTGAGTCTGTCGATCCTGCTTCGACCTCGAGCCATGCTGATCGAAGACATCGTCCATCCGTTGACAGCTTGTGAGTGTCATCATGCTCTGTCGATGTCCTGCCCTCCTCACCGATGTGATCATGAATTCATTGTTAGGATGTGGGTGTGTTTCTTCTATGTCGCCCTCACTGACTGAACACATTTCCCCTCCATCCACAGATCGTGAGTCGGTCGATCCACCATTGCACTTGAGCCATACTGACTGAAAACATCGTTCGCCCATTTACAGAGCGTAAGCGTAATGATCCGCAGGCGAATTCGAGCATCACTGACCAATCAAATTGCTAATCCCTGCTGACAGCGCGTGAGTGTGTTCATCTGCCATTGAGCTCGAATGTTGCTCACCGACGACATCACTGATCTGTTGACAGCGAGTGAGTCTCTCCGACCTCATTCGAGTTCGAGTTCTAGCTTTGCTCACCGACGGCATTGCCCATTTACTGACAGACAGTCAGTGTGCTGATCCTCCGTCGAGTTCGAGATTTACTCACCACTAAAATCGCAAATCCTTCAAAATAGAGAGTGAGTCTAGAGCCTTGCTCGCGAGCGACATTGCTGATGCATCAATAGGACGTGCTTGATGAGAATCGCTGTCTTGAGATACAGTCTAGGTTGCTCTCCGTGGTATGTGCAATTGGTCACAGATTGTACACACATTTCTCATGTTGTGAATGTGCCAGGCCTCTGGTTCAACACCCTTGGAGAACATTGTTCAGCTCGGATCTGGTGAATTTTAAGGTCACGCTGCGATGAATCTGCTTATTATTGATCATTTAGCTGTTGTGATTATCTTCGAACACTCTTTCTACGTTTACGACAGGCGGCGCCATCTTCAAGACGAGCAAACGTATGATCCCTCTTTTTATGTCGTTCTCGAGCAGTACATCGCATCTCCGCATGCAGCTGCTGTAAAGGCAGCTGTGAGCACTGCCGTCCAGGCGTATCAAGAAACTGTGGCTACTGCTCCCCGCGCATATGAAGACGCCATGGCTGCTGCTTCCCGCACATATGAAGACGCCGTGGCTGCCGCTTCCCGTGCATATGAAGACGCCGTGGCTACCGCTTCCCGCGCATGTGAAGACGCTGTGGCTACTGCTTCCCGCGCATATGAAGAAGCTGTGAGGACTGCTGTCTATCCATCTCAAGGAAATTTGCCTGCTTGGACGGCAAAGTTACCGTTTGAACCCTTGAAGAGGAAGGCAAAAGCAGCTTTTGAACGCTCTAAGGAGGAGAAAGAAGCTTTCGAACGCTCTAAGAAGGAGGAGAAAGAAGCTTTCGAACGCTCTAAGAAAGAGGAGAAAGAAGCTTCGTGCTATCGGGCGAAGAAGGAGAAAGAATCTTCGTGCTCTCGGGCGAAGGAGGAGAAAGAATCCGTTGAACTCTCCAAGAAGAAGGAGAAAGAATCTTCGGGCTCTCGGGCGAAGAAGGAGTTAATAAAGGCTGTTATTCAAATCACTTTAGATCATCGCCTGCGTATGTTTCACTGTCATATTTGGCAGCCATCCCACTGATATACTTGTATTCAGTAAGACCTTAATGTTGGGCGATGCAACATAATGTTCCGGTTCGGAGTGGAGCTGAGGTGTCTTGCCTCTGAATGCAGGTTGCTCGAAAGGTTTCTCGAGGTAGTTTCAGGAGTTTGAACCGTACGAAATGGTTGTATGATCGCACATTAACACGTATGAGTATGATACCGTAGCCTAGGTCATCCAATAAGCATCAGTGAACGCATGAGTACTTGAAATTGTAAGATAAATCTCACTCGTACTGGTCGTAAATCGGGTTCGTCATATGACCTAGCGTGACATTTAACAAAATTGCATTGTACAGACCGGCTCGGAGTCCAGCTGCGGAGGTGCCTGGAAGTGCCGGGTTGCTAAATTAGGCTCGGACGGTCCAGGTACGGCCCAGAACGATTACATAACAAAATTGCATCATGATATGATAGTAAGTCAAAACACAAGCAAAATATGTTCCATGTGCAGATATAGAGGGAATGCACGAACTGTTGGTAACTAGTAGTTTGTACTCGGTTATAGCAGACCGCCTTGACCTCTCCGGCTGCGGTATGTATATGATCAGGAGCCTGGCAGGCGTTCCGGAATCCGGATTGCTAAATTAGGTTCGGACGGTAAGGAGTCCAGGTCCCAGATCGAACGGTCCGGACGGTCGCTTCCAATTTTACTGTCTCTGACTACTCACAACGATGAACGACTGTGTGCTGGAGCAGCCCGAGCCTTTATTATATGGCACCCCCTCGATAACAATCAGAAAGAATATATCTAGGAATGGTGGACAACCATTCGAAGACTCTGATGTTCTCGTGCTTTCCTCCCGGTCCACGCACTCCAAAGATTCCACGCAACTATACCTCGACTTACGTCTCTCGAAGCCTTTACTGCCAGAGAGCACCATTAAATGGGGCTTTGCTGGCATCCGTGTCACACTCTCCTCTACTCCTCTGCGTTTCCGATGGAATCATTATATTGATTCCCAGGGACGAGATGGCTCCCCTGATGAAGGCACCATGACTTCATGTGATGGAGAAGAAGTGGAAACTGGAATTGGGATAAACCCCGAGACGGGAGAACAGGAGCAGTATGAAGAACGCTGGATGTAAGCTCATAACCATCACCCTGGATAGTTGATCAGTTTCATGATTTCTGCGCGATAGTGACCAACCAGTTCCACCACGCACATCATTCGCATTCCTCACTTCCTCACGCGAACCAAGTGATTCGACCGGGTTTATCGCTATCCTGGGAGATCATGCGCTTGCAATGCGCCAGAACCACTCTCCGAATGACACCGAATTTCAAGCGGTGCGCATGCGCATCTCGACTTCATCGTCGCCCGAAGTTCTATTCAAGCAAGACGCAGACGCTCTCCTCCCATTGTTAGAATCTGCGCTCTCGGGGGTTGATAATTGGAAAGGATCCCCTTGGCAGCATGGCCAGGAAATTACTTTACAGGAAAACCGCTGGACGGTGTGGGATGCTGGTATGACAGGGGAAAACTGACTGCTTAATTTAAATTGCAGGTGGACGTATTCCATGATGGTGTGATGCCCAGCTACGATGCAATTATAACCTGTGTCCACCGCGCCGCGTAGCCCTTGATCTTCAATCGGCGAATGTGAGGAATGTCAGATGCAGGACATACTATTCACAATGACACTTCTTGATTCGGTATGACCCTAGCTAACATGCAGCGAGTACGACTCATCTACCCTTGAAGCATCGACATTTCACCCTATATTTGGTTAGCTGGTGTGTAAATGCATCAGGAATGACTGCGCTTCCGTGCCGTCATGTCACGTCCGACTGTCTGGTCCCATACACTCCAGGCACAAACACCTGGTTTATTGATTCCACCTGTTGCAGTTTCCAGTGGTGCATTATTCTAGTCTGTACAGCTGTAGACTTAGAGTATTACTAAGTCCATTCGCCCGTGTGTGATCCACCCGAGTTAACGAAAATGGATTCTAATTCCAAACATACTAGTGTGAGGGGGAGCCTATATGACCTGTAGTGATGGAGATGTTGTGAGAAACGTATATGTTACAGGCAGACTCCGCCAAACTGACACCACGAGTGACAGAGCGAGTCAGGTTCTCGTGCACGTTTGACACTGCCTGTGGACTACATCAGTGATGATGACGGCAATACTTTGATGAGCCGAGTATGACGTAGACCAGGGAGCGTTATGGGCGAGTATTACTCGATAGGTGAGTGACGCCTGATTGATCAGGCAGCTCGGAGGTGATCGTGATAGCGTTTGTCTGCGCCCAGAACCTCACCAGGGAGATCGGATGAACACACCGGATACTGCGCATGTGCCTTGAATCAAAAACTGCCTAGAAGCATCGAGAAATTATTAGGAAAGCGAGAACGAGAGCGAGAACGAACTAGACCTCTTGAAGAAAAAGGCTGGACAGATGCTGATGGTGCGATGCTGATGGTACGATACTGCTAGTTCACAAATCCGAGCCGAACGATGTCCGATAAACAATTTGGGTGGTCACTGACCTATAATCGATTTGAGAGCCCCACTCATTTTGTCCAAACCAGAGCACGTTGCTTAATTTTGCTGTCCTTGGCTGGCAACGGTGCTGAGAGAAGGACGGAGATACTTACTAACATACCTACACTAGTACTTGCTGTGCGAACAGTGATTAGCAATCGCAAGAAACGGAGTGGTCTTCGGGGGTTCGCCGCCAGTTGACGTTATCGCATCAGTACTGATTAGATCGACCCACCCAAATATTGATTCTAGTATAAAAGGTTCATCTCACCTCCCATATCCGCATTTCTCCACTTCACCCCATCACTACAATATTCTCTCAACCAACATGGTGAGTACATCTTCATCCAACAAGCACACGGTCGGTCGCTAATGACATCGCACGCAGGTCAGAGTCGGCATCAATGGGTATGTTTTCATTATCGGTCGAGGCGCTCATCGTTAATCGGATGCTTGTCTCTTTTGTTGCTGTATAGTTTCGGTGAGTATATGCTCTTGATTCTGTACAAGCGAATGCATCTGACACGATATCTCACGTTTAGGTCGTATTGGCCGCATCGTCATGCGTAATGCCCTCGAAAACCAGGACATCGAGGTCGTCGCCATCAATGAGTGGGTTCACCTCCTATTTTCCAAAATTATATCTGATATACATTTATAGTCCTTTCATTGAATTGGACTACATGGTCAGTAGATGAGCTATCGACATGTACCGAGTTCGATCTAATCGGTGGGAAATGTAGGTTTACATGTTCAAGTACGACACCGTCCACGGTCGCTTCAAGGGCGACGTCCACACCGCGGACGGAAAGCTCTACATCAACAACAAGCCTATCCACGTTTTCGGTGAGCGGGATCCGAGCAACATCAAGTGGGGTTCGGTCGGCGCTGATTACGTCGTCGAGTCCACTGTGAGTTTCTCAATCAATGCTGCCCTCGAGTTGAAAGCTGATTGGAACTACGTGACCAGGGTGTCTTCACCACTATCGACAAGTAAGGATTCCTGATTAGGGATCGAGTGCTTTTGATGAGATTACTCCCAGGGCCTCTGCTCACTTGAAGGGTGGCGCAAAGAAGGTCATCATCTCCGCCCCTTCAGCTGACGCACCTATGTTTGTCTGCGGTGTCAACCTCGACGCTTACGACTCCAAGTACACCGTGATCTCTAACGCATCTTGCACAACCAACTGTCTTGCACCCCTCGCCAAGGTGATCGACGACAACTTCGGCATCGAGGAGGGTCTCATGTCAACCATCCACGCGACGACAGCCACTCAGAAGACTGTCGACGGTCCTTCCAACAAGGACTGGCGCGGTGGCCGTGCTGTCAACAACAACATTATCCCGTCCTCCACGGGTGCTGCCAAGGCAGTCGGCAAGGTCATTCCTTCCCTGAACGGCAAGCTCACGTATGTGATATCGAAGTTTACCCATAACATCAACATGCTAAGCACCTTCTTGTAGTGGTCTTGCATTCCGTGTCCCGACTTTGGATGTATCTGTCGTCGACCTCGTCGTGCGCCTCAAGAAGCCTGTCACCTATGATGACATCAAGAAGGCAGTGAAGGCCGCCGCTGACGGCCCTCTGAATGGCGTGCTCGCCTACACCGACGACAGCGTCGTCTCGACGGACTTCCTCGGTCACCCCGCATCGAGCATCTTCGATGCCAGTGCTGGTATCATGCTCAACTCGCAGTTCGTGAAGTTGATCTCATGGTACGACAACGAGTGGGGCTACTCGAAGCGTGTGTGTGACTTGCTTGTATATGCTGCCAAGAAGGACGGGGTCAACTAAAGGGAATGTGAATACCGGTAGTTTGAGGTCTTACCATACAAAACAAATGTTGTATTTCTTTATGGACATAGTGACGCCTTTGATCATAGATCCGCTTATCGCTCTGACGAGTCTTCTCATGTTTGATGGTTATGTGAGGTGTAAATGATTGACCTTTGGAAACCGTACTCAATAACAGTTCGTTTCGCCAGTCTATTCGCTGTTTGAACGACAAGCGAAGAAAATTGATAATGTCAAGTTGTCAGAGAGTAGACGAACCGAGTGTGATCGTGTACTGAGTGCAAGCAAAAAAAAATACTATTGAATGGAACGAAGATGGACATCAGAAGCTCTCACTCGCCAAGAATCCAAAGTTCATCGTCTTGCCGCTCCGCCGGCGCTGACATTGTCGATCGATGCACTGAGTGATCGCGCGCGTGCATGAGATCTGAGACTTTGCGGCAATCTACCATCAGACAACATTTGCCGAATCACAATAAGTAGACCGATCAACGCCTCTAGTAGAATCCGATATGTTCCCCGTGCATCGATGATGACCACCGTCTCCCAACAGAAACAAGAGCAGTCATTCCGGTTCTATCAAATAGCAAGCTTTGGCGCATGGCCATAACATCAACGCCATAGGTCGTTCAACCAAAGTTAACGCCGGCGATCGCGGCGTCTACGTACTTACCAAGGAGTATGCCGGCCAGGAACTACACGTGTTCGGAAAAGGCAATCAAGATACGATCGGCTGGTGCGTCATATATCGCAGCCTGGCTTCTGGATCTGAACTACCGCATATGACCGGTTGACCCTAGATGCGTGTGCGCGACAATGTTGCATTCTGGTTAGCAGCGATTATAACATAAGAATGTCTCATACCGTTCAAAACGTTTAGTAATAGAGTCCACGAGTCTGAAAAGCAAGAGTGGGATCCGTAAGTATGTAGTCAAACACCCGTAACACGTGCCTGAGCGCCAGGCAGGTGCACTGACTTGCTTTACATGGCGCTTGTTAGTAAAAGCATTGGTTTTCATCGTGTGATCCAGTTGCACATACCAGTCCTTTCCACACAATCGAGATTTATAAAAGTATGAATAAAAGGTCATGAAATACACATCATTATCGTACTGGTCGGAAAGCTGAAACATCAAAAAACTACAAATATGACATCGCGTCAAGGCTAGAGTCTGAATCATAACAAAGATATAAAAAAGATCACTAGAATACACCCGGAATGAGTCTGTAGCGCACCCTCTGAGACCACCGGACCCATTCCGCCCCAAAACGCTTGCGAAGCATCGCATCTTCGCTGATAGCCCGTGCGCAGCTTAGCACGCCGGTCAGTATGAGTTGGAGTGCCCATATTCCAAATATGGTACGCCCGATGTAAGTGGAGAGCCACCCTGATGATCGCATGAACGATCCGGGGCTCGCATAGATGAGTGAGATCCCGAATGAGGCGATCCAGCTGGCTACATAGCTAGGGTGGCGCACGATGTTGTATGGACCGGCGGTGACGAGGGAGTGGTCCTTGCGCAAGCTGAGCTGGTGAGTGAAATGGCGTCCCATGACATGAAAACACCATAGGCGTCCCATGCAACCCAAGAGGACGAGGATTGTTCCGAGTATGAAGTACGTGTTTGGTACCATATCCGGAAGCTGTCCGCTGTGAACTAGAATAGAGAGGATTCCAGATGAGACAGGCGATGGAAAATAAGCCGCGAGTATGACGGCTATCTCTGCAACACAGGGTATCAAGCCCGACAACTGTTATATGATATTCGTTAATGTGTCTAGACATTGAAAATTGACATACCCGTTGTAATATCGGGAAAATGGCCGGGCATATACGCTCGTAGAGTGGACCGCCGCTAATTGTTTCATCGTCATTGGGTGCTGGGTTCGGAGAAATATACGCATTATTGAATACAAGGACAGATGGCACAAGGAAGAGAAGTTTCATGAGAGTCATCGTGGAATCGTCACTGAAAGCTGTGGGTTTGATCAACTACTCACGCCCCTCTTATATGCGTGTGCTCGCACAAACGCGCACCCACATAGCTAGGGTTACCATGCTGGCGTTTGAAATTAAAGAAATCCGCAAAGGACAGCTACACGCGTGCGGTGCGAATAGCTAGGCTTCTCATGCTTCCGAGATTCGTCAAAGAAGAAGCCCATGGAATGCGGGCCGGGTGTTCAACACTGCGCCTCAAACTTGACAAAATGTCGTCTTCGGAAGGGGCAGTGGTAAACACGCTAGGGAAGGTTGAGTCACATTACGTTGTAGCCACTGAATCTAGCTTCCGAGTGGTTGGTGCTAGCATCGTGATAGGCCGCTGGATTTACGTTCACGATGATTGCCGGGCTGTTGAAACTAAAGGCTAGAATCAACGAGATAGTACATCAGTTCCCGGAATTCACGTTATCGTTCAACGTAGGGCATACCTCGCACAGTCCGACTCGACAGACTTTTGGATGGTGTCAGGATAGTTGGGTGGACGAAATATCAGATGGCCTGTGAAGGCAGTCAAAGCGAGGAATGGATCATTTTCCTATCAGCCTACCCAAAATGGATGATATACGTAAAACGCCACAGCGCCTGATCACTTTCACAAGTTTCATCAAGTGACAAGATGATGAGCTACACACAATGTTGTCATCGAACCCGACCTCGCCCTGCAGTGTGGCGACATGTGGATACCACGTGCACGGCCTTGGCAATTGAACTTAACTTACTCGTCTGAAACAAAAACGTTAGCAGCTACCGCACATGGACCTCCAGACGCCCACTGAACGTTCTGAACAGCGATTCCATTTTGTACACTGCAATGTACACATCTGCTTTCAGCGTTCTCTTCCACCCTTCCTCCGTTGACGTCCAAAATAGCTCATATTGTACAACCACTGCTACTAGTACACAGCATACTACATACTGCACTGGCGCTCGCAAATCCATACCCGGCCAAATTCCGATACAGCCATGTACGTACGGTTCGCCTAGCTTCACAGATCGACTCTTTCATGACCATGCGCGTGACAGGTGAATATTTGAATCACGGTGTTCCATTTGCTCCTTAAATCCCATTTGCAAAATGCCTTTCTGGATTCTGAATTCTGATCGGCGACAAACGAGCGAATGTACATGATGGGGTTGAACGTTGATGTTCGGATCGGTGGAGCCAAGCAGGGATACAGAACATACTTAATGGAAGAAACAAACTTCGCACACCGACTTTTTATGCCCTGACATCTTGCTGATAGGCATATGTCGGTAAGCACTCCTTTGTTACTCCCAAATAGTACATAAATGACATAGATAACGCTTCCCTGCAGGTATGTATTCGAGTCCCTTTCCACTTGCTTTCGGGGGATAATATCCTTGGATGACAAGTTACTAATGAATCTGCAACGATCTGATTGTTTCACTCGCCTTTGTAGTGTTTCCCTATCGCAGATCTCTCATCATCATGGAGCCACCGGAATCCAGAATTGTTGCTGAGTCCGCTCTGGAACATATTGAACTCAGCTTGCGAACCTTAACATGTTTATTTGCGTAGCGTACGGCCGCGCGACGGTGTAATCTCTCAGTTGAGACATTTGAAACACTGGGATACTAACGAATCCGCAACGATCTAATTGCTCCACCTAGTACTTCTATAGTGTTTCCCTATCACCGTCAATCACAGCTCTCTCGTAATAAAGCCACTGTGCAGACTTGCTTGCTGTGCTGGGTCCGCTCGGCGTGGAACATGTTAAAGTCAGGTTGCAAACATACATAACACGACGCCGACGCACCGCACAGTCCCAAAGACCAGTTTTATTTTCCTCCAACCCTACAAGGTGCTACAACTAAATCAAGGGACCTGTCTTGCAATACGTCAACTCGACTTGCGTAGCAGTGGAAATTTCAGATGTTATCCAACATGACATTATACATCTAGTAGTGGTCTGACACAATCCACGCGACGGTGTAATCTCTCAGTTGAGACAAGTGGGCAAAATTCTTGCAAACCTTCCACACCACAGCGCTCGCCGTCGACATGCTCACGTGTACACTCGTGAAGAAGTTAACATCGCTGTCGAGACTGCACAGGATCTTGAAGCATCTTTCGCATGGGCACCTCCGCTCTCGACTGAGCCTCGTGATGCAGATCATCTTTTGCTGGTCCAGAGAGAATCTCGCCTGATGACATTGCTGCTGAATTTTGTAGCTCTCGAGGAGTCGAAGAAGCCTGAAAAAGCTCGGGACATTAATGAAGTCAAATTGCTGGAAGAAAATGCTTTTGATTTTGCATAGTTCACAGATAGCCTATAGTTTTACCCCTTCCACTATATACATCCCTCAGCCTTGGGTGATGTATATGTCGTCCCGCTCGAATCCATATATATGGTTTCAGTGGCCCGTGTGCATTGCTAGGATAGCAGAGCGTTTAGTAAGAACGCATGTTAGTGCATGTACTTTTTGACTTCATCGAAAGACCACTGACCTGCTACCTGAATAAGATCTGGTGTCATGGTGTCATTCCCGTAATAGCGAGTGCTATGGCGCCTCCAGCTCTCACAGAATGACCTGACTCGGACATTGCCGTGCCGCGATGTTCAGTGACGTAACCGTCAGAGTAACGTATGAATTTGGCACTCATCAACCACAGAGCGGGACGGAAGACAAATGCGGTGTCTCGGCAGGTGAAATACCATTGCAGGCTGGCAGTAGTGGCAATGGATCAAATGCAATCACCGAATTTGACACGATGAGGATGGTCGTGTGAGTCCCCAAGTTGTCGCTCTTCTGGTCAGGCAGGGTGTAGGAGATGGAGTTAGCAGACTGCAGTGATGGTGAGGGCATCGTCCGTAGTGCTGTGCAGACATGAAGTTCTGCGCTTTGGTTGAGCTGGACTCGGAGTACCTGTAATGGACGTTGAATATTTGAATCGTGACTGTTTTCCTTATCAAGCAAGTCTTATTATTGACATCATGCTATGGCCTCGAGCTCGCTTTGTCAGAACTTACGCGTACGTGGCACCTTATCAAGCAGATAGCAGTACCAAATAAGTCATCGTGCTGTAAGTTAGTCTTCTGCTATGTCTCCTGGCGCTGAGCTGTTTCCTAAAGACTCGGAACGTCATTTGCATAGTTGATCTGTTGAAGCTACGGTAACTAATATATTGTCGATCAATAGATATTTGGACGCTAAATGTGCATGTGAGTACGTACTTGAGTACCATCACGATGGCATCACCAAGTCCGAATTCGGCGAACCCGGCTTTGAATTAGACTACAATGTAACAAATCCACTTCAAATTTTCGACTGTATATATTACGATTACTGCAAGGCTACCTTCCCGCATCTTCCTACTACTCTCACTGTCACCGTCTCGCGGCTTTTTCGAATCCTGGGACCTGAATGCTCTGAAGATACAATTAATGGGGTTAGAAACACTCAGAGCCGCATGTACGCCCATTACGGTACGCCATCGTGGTCTTGTGACGTTGCACTGATAACTCTAGCAGATCCTAAAGGCAATATTCTTCGTGGCGCATTTCGGCAATATGAGTCAGGCTCAAGAGAATAATAATGTAGTTCGGCTATAATCAGGGTTTGGTCTTCAAATGGGGGTGAGTTCAGCACGTTGGATTGTGGGGTTTAACTTTTGTTGGCTGACACACGTTGATGTAGCCAATGACTTTCCGATACATTGAGCCCACTGTCATTTCGCACCCTTGTGATATATATCTGCAGTGGCCAAATGACGGGCAAGTCCGTCAATCATGGCAAAAAAATATGTATCGTACTCCGTAGAACGAGACCTTCAGGTCTCGGATCCAAGAGACACCGTTACATCTCTGGAGCACGGGTACGGTTAACACCGCTCAGTTTCGAATGTCGGGCGCTGGCGCAGTTCAGTATACTACCTGCTTTCGATAACCACGAACGAGGCTCGAGTTTCCTATGTGGCTATATGTTTGCAGATCCCCAATAGGCGTCTTACCATTGCCTCCTCACTATCGTTCGTTTTTTTCTCTGCGCACGTTTGCTTGACTGCGGTATGATAAACCCAAATAACCCATACACTTCCACCATTTGCAAGGTGTGGGAACAAGAATTGTCTTCTGTTGCACTTGCTACGATATTGACGTATTTCTATTGAATAGGTTGTACCACTTCTCAATGAGCGTCCCACGGCGGAGGCACCCGTGGAGTGCATGAATATGATAAACAGTTCCCCGTCCAAAAGCCCAGGTGCCACGTCGCATTTTTGTTAGCACCTGGTACATAAATTTCTCCTTCGCATATGGGTCTACTGCCTCTTTCTCCCATTGTGCCCTCAAGATGAACTTCAAAGATCAAGTCAATGTGGACGCTGTCGCCCGGGATAGTCTGGAGAAGCTAGGCTACAAGCAGGAGATGACACGGGTTTGTGCTTGTGCTTGTTCCTGTTCGATAAATATGTGATGTTCGCGGTCGTTGCTAGTCTCGAGGACTAGTACAAATATTGTTCAGTGAGTAGAGCGTTCCTTTCACTGCGTCACAAAAATTGAATGCTTCCAAACAAGTGACGTTAGGTCAGTCTATCGGCTTGAGCGAAACTGCCCATTGAACTGTTGACTCAATGATTTGGTTAGCAATCATGGCAGTCCGTATGTCTGAGCAGCGATTTTGCTCAACGCCACGACTTACTCTCTGGTAGCATTCGGTCTTACATCACCTATAGCGACGTCGCTCATTGGAGGTGGTCCAGCAGTAATGATATGGGGGTAAATATACACTTTCCACCTTATCTAGAACACAATTTGACATATTGTAGTTGGATCCTGGTTTCAGTCCTGACCCAAACCCTTGCTCTTTCACTGGCGGAGATATGCTCTAAATATCCCACATCAGCAGGGACATACTACTGGTGTTATCGACTTGCGTCCCCCCGCACGCGACTCCTTTCCTCCTGGATCAATGGCTGGTTGACAGTCGTTGGTGGTTGGACGGTTGATTTGAGTGTCAAATTCGGTATTTGTCCCTATGCTTTGTCACTTCCGATTACCTATATCAGTAACGCATTTTCCCAGCAACTGCTCAACTTGTTGTTGCCGGAGCTGGAATATATTATTCTGAATGGGACGCGACAGCATTGCAAACATGTAAGGATCCATCTGTGTAGCAATATTTGCGCTTGCTGACCCCTTAATTCCCCGATGTAGACATGATTTTCCTCGGCGTGACTGCTATTGCTGGCATATTCTGCATATTCTTTAACAGGCTCCTACCAACCATCGATGTAGGTCCTTACCTGTTTATTGTTGCCAAGATACCCATAGCCTGCCAGATTATTTGTGCTTGCTGGACGGGTTTAGGCATCATCGGTACGTTTACCATGACTGTCCTTTGTCTGTTATCCTCCTAAATTTGGATGTTTGAAGTTATCTCGACATGCTTGTTAGCCAAGGCTGCAGTAGGCCGCCATCCAGCCTCTTTCGCGCTCGGGAACTTCGATCCCTCGTTTTCAGGATGGACGCCTGGGTGGTCGTTCTTCATCGGTACATTGCCGGTACGATTGCCATTACTTATCACAACTCGTACTCAATATTACCACAATATACCAAAACAGCCTGGTAAGATGTTGACGTTATCTATCACAGTGGGATCAGGAGCTGAATCATGTCTCAGCATACACATTCTCCAGTATAGGAATGAGTACGTCTCTAACAGCGGTGTTGCCCATATTCACTCGGCTGATATTCAAAAATCAGTCACAAATATGGCCGAAGAGGTTTATAACCCTTCTGAAATACTCCCGAAGGCCATCACCTGGTCGGTACCCATTGGCTCATTGACTGGCGTATTATTCCTTCTGCCAATCCTTTTCACACTCCCAGATGTCAACACATTGCTTCAAGGTTAGTTTCATGCCGAGGTAACTCGTGCTTCTCATGTGATATGCCATCTAGTTTCTTCCGGTCAACCGATTGGTGTCATGTTTACTTTGATCATGGGCTCCAGGGCTGGTGGTTTCGGGCTGGTGAGTTTCCATCGTGGCCTTTCGTGCGGCGCGCTGCATCTCTGATTTGGCGGGGTATCCAGTGGTTCATCAGTACGTTACAATTGGTCTCCGCTACTGATTAGCCTAGCTTTCTCATACCACCTTCCAAAGTATTCGGTATCGGTATGTTTTGTTCAATGTCCACGTCGTGTGCCGGTTCTCGTGCAACTTGGGCGTTCGCACGTGACAAAGCCATTCCATTTCATCGGCGGTTCTCCAAAATCGACCCTTCCCTTGGAGATGTCCCTGTGAACGCGTATGCACTCTCCACTGCGATCCAAGTTCTCCTTGGACTCGTCTACCTCGGTTCCTCAGCTGCATTCAACGCTTTTGCAGGAGTCGCTGTCATGTGTCATGGAGCATCTTACGCGATGCCCATTGCCATCTCGCTGATGGACGCCCGGCGAGACATGCATGATGCCCCATTCAACCTTGGTGGCTTCGGTACTATCATCAATGCAGTCGCAGTGCTGTGGATCATGTTTGTCACCGTGCTATTCTCGATGCCTGCTGTCATCCCAGTAACGAGGTGGTCGATGAGTGAGTGGTTTTTGCTCACATGGATGGGTTGAGGCACTGAATGTGTGCGGGTAGATTATGCTTCGGTAGTGTTTGGGGGGTTCGGGGTGATCAGTGCAGCGTGGTATATGATCAGTACGTTGTTTGCTTGTTGTTCGGGAACTTCATGGGATTAATGTGATTCAGACGGTCAGTTTTACTATAGAGGACCTCCAATCCAGGAAGATTCAACTAGCTCGTCCGGATCCTCGGACTCTGCTTTGCATTGAAATAATTCTCCGCGACAATCGTGGTGAAGATACTATCATCAAACGATGGTGGTCAAGATCAAGGTGTCAGCGCATGGTAGCTCTCGCCTTTCGGTCTCTCATGCATATGATTGTGATTATTATAGCAGTTAAGCCATTGTGTAGAGTCTGTAGACACGATATTGTGTTAGACTAGACTAGATGTCGCATGGTGGTGAAAACCCCGTTTTTCCAAAGTCAAAGCCTAGTACCACTCCAAGGGTGATTTTGTGGTTGCAAGTGCATTTGATCTAATGTCAGCAACACCTTGAGCTAGACCAGATAATTCTGGCGAAGCTCCAGAAGGAAATGGATAGTTTTGTAGTGATATAACAGATAAGATAGAAGGCAGGGAACTAAAGTGCCAAGAGACACATCCCGATCATCAGGAAAAACCTCCTAAGTGAATTAGAAGAAATTAGAACTAATTAGCACTAATGCTCCATAATTATGTCTAAATTAGCCAAATTCAAGTTTCAGCAGGTCTAGCTCAGTTATTTTACCCCCTGATAAAAAGATGAGAATTTGAAGTTATTCAAAAAATCTGAGAGTTATTGCTATTGTGTTTGATCCAACTGAATCAGACAGTGTTACATAAAAAGACCAATCTTTGATTAAAAATGACCAATGAATCCATTCAGAAGTGAATCCTCAAGGTACATTTATCTGCATTTTGTCAGTTCTAACATCCCCCCTGAGCTCAATAAAATGACACATTTCTTTTTCATGTTGCAACATGCTCATGGATGGTTTCTCAGACTTTGATCTTCCTTATTTCTAGTTCAGGGGTTATCAAAGTCAAAATCTGATTCTCCAGGACTGAGCAGGTCAAAAACATGTATCACTCAGCATATTTCAAGCATGCACAGTCCAAAAGAAACAGTCTTTAACTCCATTGTAACAACCACTTGGTTAAGATTGGTTATGATGAGTGTTTGAGACAATCATCCATGAGCAAATGTTCAAGGTATATTTCAATGACAAAAAAATGTAATTATATAGGTTTCAAACCTGCTTAGTCTAGGATCAGATTTTGAATCTATTGCGGCAATAACATGGCTAAGACATTTTTTGGAGAAAATGATTCATGAAGAAATGTCAGGGTATGAATTCATAGAATAAAATAATATCATCAGCAGATTTCAAACCTGCACAGTCCAAGAGAAACAGATTTTGACTCTGGTGATCACTTAATAATTTCATCTTTAGCAGGTTTTGAACCCACACAGACAGATTTAGATTCTGTCATATTGACTGCTTAGCTAAGACTAGTTGAATGCACTTCCGATGAATCCATTCAAATGTGAATCCTCAAGGTATAATTTTAGCCTTGATAGATTTGTATTTTTCCTCATTCCCTAGGTCACTAGGATCAAACTTGAAAGTTTGATGTGTAATCTGCTCTTCTTCTTCTTCTTCAACCAAGTCAAGGCCTTTAGAAAGAATTAGATTGTTCTTATACATATCCTTCTGATTTTGCATTGAGACTTTGGTCATATATTGAACTCTGTCAAAAAATACTCACATTCACCTCTGGTGAGTTTTGTTTAGCAAAAAAGGATGCATGAAACCAACAGCAATGTTAATCAAGCTTGAGATCATTGGTGTTTGCTTGCTATACATTCATGTGGAAATGTGAAGGTGTGATTTCATACAATACAATACAAATAAAAATATTATCATTGGTAGGTTTCAAACCTACACAGTTATGGTTTGAGAGAAACAGATTTTGACTCTGGTGACAACTCGACTAAGACTAATGAAGATCAATATTTGAGATGCTGTCTATGAGCAGATATTCAAGACATGTTCTGATAGAAAAAAATGTATCACTCGACAGGTTTCAAACCTGCAGACTTCAATGGAAACAGATTTTGAATCTATTGCAGCAATGACATGGCTAACATCAGTCGAGTTGAGTTATTGAGAAAACCATTCATGAGACAATGTCAAGATATGTTTTCATAGAAAATAAAAAAAATTATCATTGGCAGGTTTCAAACCTGCACATTCCAAGAGAAACAGATTTTGACTCTGGCGATCACTTGACCATTTCATCTTTAGGCAGGTTTTGAACCCACACAGACAGATTTAGATTCTGTTGTATCAACTGCTTGACTAAGACCAGTGAGATGCACTTCCAATAAATTCATTCAGAAGTGAATTCTCAAGGCAGTTCTTTCAATAGTATGGTCACCATGATTGATTCTTTTATTCTACTCTTATTGCAAAAGACATCAGACTTCTTCTGGAGCTCTTGACTTCAAGACCTGTTTATCTAGCAATTGTCATGAAAAAGTGCTGATGGCAGACCACCATGGTGGGCCCATGATGTTTGTGATGTCTTGGTATTAACTACTGGGTCATGAGTGACAACCGACAATGGAAGGATCACATATGATTGGACTCAAGAAGGATGTTGAAAATTAGTGTTGGAACTGACAAAATGCAGATAAATGTACCTTGAGGATTCACTTCTGAATGGGTTCATTTGGAGCACATCTAACTGGTCTTAGCCAAGCAGTTGATACAACAGAATCTAAATCTGTCTGCATGGGTTCAAAACCTGCTAAAGATGAAATTATCAAGTGATCATCAGAGTCAAAATCTGTTTCTCTTGGACTGCGCAGGTTTGAAACCTACCAGTGATAACATTTTATTTTATGAAATCACACCTTGATATTTCCTCATGAATGATATATGGTTTCTTTCTTTTTCTTTTTCCTGTTAGAACATACCTTGACATTGACCCATGTGTATTTTGACATTGTGGCTCGCGCTCCCAAACATCTGCTTTATATGGTGTTTGTGGATGCACTTGTCTGTGTCCAAGAACATCTCTGGGCTCCGCATCCTGAGCACAAATGCCTCAAATCATGCTTTGAGGTTGTATAGCTTTCATCCTGCTGCCATGCAGTACAAATGTGTTTTCTATCTTTGATCTACGAGGCTTTGTTGATGCCCTCTGAGAAAACTTCATGCTGTCCAAAAGCACTCACTGCTTAAGAGGGTCAGGAAAGTGATGCCAGCGGTGTGATCGTAGTGCTGACCAAAACTGAATGTGCATCTCAACACAGTCCTCGGGCCAATCATGAACACAGACAGATTTCTTCAAAGGTCTTGACTTGGTTGAAGAAGAAGAAGAGCAGATTACACATCAAACTTTCAAGTTTGATCCTAATGATGAGGAAGAATACATATCTGTCAAGGCTGAGATTCAAGGCAAAGATTCAAAAGAACCATCTGGCCACTATTCGCTTATGTATAAGGTTGAGGTGCACTGTATTTGAGACCTGCTCTCTTCTCGCTTCTTGAAAGTGTTGTATTGCAGTCTGTATTCAATTCATCTGTTCAGCTGAGGGAAAACATTGCGAGTGACAGGGAACGGTACACCTGCCTTGCAGATTCACTTTTGAATGTTTCCTTTAAGCATGCATTCAAATGGTATTAGTCAAGCAGTTGCTACAACAGAATCCAAATCTGTTTCAAATCTGCATGTGTGGGCTCAAAACCCGCTAAAGATGAAATTCCCAGTGATTATCAGAGTCAAAATCTGTTTCTCTCGGACCATGCAGGTTTCAAACCTGCCAATGATAAAATTCATTTTTTTCTATGAAAACACACCTTGACATATGCTCATGGTCTGTTTGCTTACAAGCTCATCAGAGTTGTGTTTAGCCAAGTGGTCGTCCTGACAGAATAAAAATCTGTTTCTATTGGAGTGCAACAGGTTTGAAACCTGTCGAATGTTGCAGCAAGCAAATAGGGACAGTTAGACATTTTGGAGTATTCATGAAAGTGATGTTATTCGTGTCAGTTTTGTCTTTTTCAATGCAACCCAGGTGTGACTGCTTTGTACTAGTTTTGCAGCAGAATGTAGCGAGAATGCTTCTGTTGCATCTATACATTGTGGTCTGTAGCTGGGAGTATCCTTCAGCATGACATATAAATAAAATGATGAAAATATACCAGCAGTATTGGATTGGACAACAGATGGACATGTAATGTAGGGCGTGCACAGAAATGCAGTGCTTGGTATGGGACAGGGTGTGATTTCATAAAATAAAAATGTCATCATTGGCAGGTTTCAAACCTGCGCAGTCCAAGAGAAACAGATTTTGACTCTGATGATCACTTGCAATTTCATCTTTGACAGGTTTTGAACCTGTTGCAGACAGATTTGGATTCTGTCATATCAACTGCTTGGCTAAGACCAGTTAGATGCACTCTCATTGAATCCATTCAGAAGTAAACCCTCAAGGTACAAATGATTTATCCTGCATTTTGTCAGTTCTAACATTAATTTCTAACATCACCCTTGAGCTCAACCATATGCGATCCTTCCATTGTCAGTTGTCACTCATGACCCAGTTGCTAATCCCAAGACATCACAAACATCATTGGCCCAGGAGAAGTCTGATGTCTTTTGCGATAAGAGTAGAATAAAAGAATCAATCGCGGTGACCATATTATTGAAAGAACTGACAAAATGCAGATAAATATGCCTTGAGGATTCACTTGTGCTTGGGTCCATTGGAGGTGCATCTAACTGTTCTTAGCCAAGCAGTTAATATGACAGAATCTAAATCTGTCTGCGTGGGTTCAAAACCCGCCAAAGATGAAATTATCAAGTGATTGCCAGAGTTAAAATCTGTTTCTCTTGGACCGTGCAGGTTTGAAACCTGCCAGTTGCAACATTTGTTTTCTATAAAAACACACCTTGAAATATGCTCATGGTCGGTTCGCTTGCAAGATGATCAAAGTTGTCTTTAGCCAAGTGGTTGTTGCAACAGAATCAAAATCTGTTTCTATTGGAATGCAACAGGTTTAAAACCTGTTGAATGTCACATTTTTTCTATGAGAACATGCCTTGAATGTTGGCTCATAGACGGTATCTCAGACATTGATCTTCATTGGTCTTAGTCAAGTTGTCGCCAGAGTTAAAATCTGTGTCTCTTGAACTTTGCAGATTTGAAACCTGC